CGGTTTCCGACCTGCGGAGCTTCTGACCTGAGGACCTTCTGACCTGCGGACTTTCCGACCTGCGGACCTTCCGACCTGCGGACCTTCCGACCCGCGGTTTCCGACCTGCGGAGTTTCCGACCTGCGGACCTTCCGACCGCGGACCTTCCGACCCGCTATTTCCTTAGAAATATATCTACTTTACCTGAATTCCCCGCAATGCCCCTCGACCAACTCGATCACCTCAATCGTTAGGCCCATTTTTCTTTTATCTTGGGCTTTTTAACCTAATTCTTAATTTCATATGTAACAACAATATATTATGTTTACAATTTCCAGGAAGGCATGGATGTCATCAAGGAAAAGATGTCTCAATTTGGAGATACACAATATAGCTATATGATGGTGCTTTACTTTTCTTAGTGCATCGGAACAAAAATAATATGATATTTGGACTTGGGTTCACTAGCATCGGTAGTGCCACCGGATTGTAGCTCATTTACTAGTGCTCCAACAACTGACGATCGTCTAATAAGTAGCTCATTCTCAAAATAATATGATATTTTGAGAATTACGCCATGATGATTATGCAGCAGCTTGAGAGAGTGAACGCCCGACCGGAACGTTGCGACCCCGATGGCAATTCTTGTGTGCCACCTGCTTGTTGATATGTGTAATAAGTATTTGAACTGTAATATTTTATGAATTCTACTATTTCAAATGTATGGTTACGTTTATTATTATTTTTTTGGTATCCATCGATTATAGAACTATGTTTATAAATATCGTGTGATTCGATCGTATGTTATTTATTATATATTTGGTTTGGTATGGTTTACTTTACGGATCAGATTTGTGTTGTCATAATATACGGTTTGGGATAGATATGAAAAACTTGAAATTTAAATTTTTTGGGGGTCAAGAAAATTACTCGCGGAAATTATTGTGTCTCAAACATCATGTTGTGAAGGAAAATTCTATGAGTAATTCTGTGAGTAAATTATTCACAGAATTAATCATGGAATCATTTCATCATAAATAATGGAGCTTGTTGACTTTTACTTATGGAATTACTCACGGAATTCATTTTGTGCGAAAACTTACTCATAGAATATTTTGTGAGTAATTATGTGAGCAAATTACTCATGACTATAATTCTATAAGTAAATTCGTGAGTAATTTACTCACAACATTATTCATGGATTTTTCTCGTAGGAAATTAGTGATGAGGCATATACTGACGGAATACTCATAGAAGAATTCAATGAGTAATCGATTTACTCATAGATATTTTATGATTGCTCACAGAAAAATTTCATGAGTAATCTGTCTTTTTTTTTGTGGTAGAATATAGTTCTTCAAGTTAAAATCTCTGATAATGGTGCAAAAATTTGATAAGTAAGTGAACAAAGTATCAAAGTATAATACATTTGTTTTTGCCATAGAGTTTGCGGTATTTATGGAATAGAATAAAGTCGAAGTTGTAGTTGTAGTTGCTTTACTTTTATTAAAGATAGATTTATAGTCCTTTTCACTGGTGAATTTTTATGTCGAACTTTTGGATTTTGTCATGAAATAAAGTCCAAGAAATATATACAGGGAGTCGACATGAACGAATTGAGCAAAGAGAATATAACCGGAACTTCGAACAAAGATGTAAAGTTTAGTATATGAAGCGAGTAAACTGAAGAATAATGCACAAACGTTATGATGAAATTAAGTGAGCAAGGGGTCACGGAATTGTGGGTGTTATGAATGCATGAGGTGCAAGAGATTTGTATGTATAATGAGGTAAAGTTTAGAAAAGTCTGGATGTAAGTGTTAGTGGAATTTTAAGCGAACATATATAGGATGGACAGGATGCAGAGTTTTCTTTTTTTTTTTTTTGCGTCTGAGATTTGTTCTGATGGTTGATGGCTAGATTATCCTGGATGAAAGATTATCCCGGATGAAATGAGCTTGGTGGTGAGAGTGTGTTAGTGAGGAATATATGTATATGCACAAAATGTTATAAAAAGGTGAATATGATCTCACTTGTTTGCTTAAGTATGGCTCTTGGCTCAATTAGTACTTGACCTTACGAGTTATAATGAAACCTTAGATTCATAGCCAAGAACATTATCTAAAAGAGAATCCACTATCGCTAGATGTCTTTGTGACATAATAAGTAAACGCCTATGTATAGTTAATTATTACTTGAATTGTATCACTAGTGGAAGTACCTCTCTGATACCTCTTTCTAGTCAAGATTCAATTTTAATCACAAATTAAGTAGGTCGACAAGTCTCTTGCATACGTAATTTCTATGAACCACCTATACTCTATAAACAATATGATGCAGGCAAAGGCATGGATTGTTAATCCCTCTCTACGGCATCGGCTCTGCTGTCCCACTGGTGTTGCTGTCCCCCATGTCTCTCCAATGAGAGAAAAACACGTAGCATTATTTTTTATTTTTCTTTAATTTTAATTTTTAAAGTAAAATTATCAAACTTGATGAAATTACAAACAGGTCCATTTCTCTTTCTTTTCATTTCCTCTTCTTTTTATCATTTACAAACTTTATTTTTTTTATCATCACCCAACCAGCCCGCTGTCGTCCAGTCCTCACTTTTTCGCCCAGGCGATGCGTCGTTGCTTAGCCTTCATCTTCTTCACACGTTTTCGCACAATCCCGTCGTCGTGCGGTCTCCCCGCTGTCAAGGCCACTTCTTCCCAGGTATACAGAGGATTTATATTTTTAGTTAATTTAGGATTTATCGTCTTCTAGATCCATAGCCGTCGCCCTCCTCTTATTCCCCAAATACACATATTGATTTATTTGGAGGGTGTCAATTGTTATTCTTTTGAGAATTCTCAATTCAATAAAATTTTGTTGATTTAGGGTTTAGATTTTATTGTTATTTCTACTAATATGAAATAAATAGATGTTACAATGAATCTTCTAGTGATCTTCTCATTGCATATTTCGTTCATTTGAGACTTTTAAATGTTCAATTTTGAAGTTTTTATTTTACTCTTTATTAATAAATTGATTGGTCTGTTGTTTTGGTAGATGATCCTTAGTCGAAAAGCTCAAAGTTAAGTTTTGACAGGACTGCAATCATGAACTGCTTTTAAGATGCGATGGTATGTGAAAGGTGGAAACCGGGAAAATCTTGTTTGGATTTAGATATTTAGGATTGTTAAGACTTGAAAGAATTAAGGGTCAAAAGGCTCCTTTAAAGTAGTCTTAACATTCTTTTGCATTGTCTTATATATTATCCAATTAAAACTGAAACATATACTTGGCTTGTTGTGGATCTAAATGTGTGATTTGTTAGATATTTCTTGTCAAAAGTAAAAAAAGGTTTTGGATTATACTGTGAAAGTTTTGTATTTTGATGGGAGCTACGCACATAGGAACATATGTTTTTCATACAATGACTAAGATAAATTGGAAAAACAAAATAAATAAAGTTTGGAGGATCTATTCAAAAAAGTTTATTGCATTGAGATTGAGGAATTGAATAGCAAAGTGGTTGAAGAATTTTTATAGTGCTATCACTCAGTTCATTGTGTTATAGATTGTTGCTATTATCCAATGGGTAGTACAATCTTTTTTTTTTTTTTTTTTTTGGGAGGTGATTATTGTAGCCATAAAATGGCTAATGTAGCCATTTTATGGCTAGAATTGCTTTGGTGGTTAAGTTTATAAGATGAAAGCTTGAAGTTCATTGTATGTTTATATGTTTATAGTTTGTGTAAATTTGATTTTGCTCACAAGTATAATGATTTGCAGAATTCTATATAATTCTTTTGGGTGAACACCAAACTGGCTTATCTTGACAAACCAAAAGATGTACCAATGGTTATCTTAGCATTTTCCTAATCAACTATGTGCAAGAAATTGTGGAAACGTGTTTGTAGAACATACAAAGAAAAGCAATAGAAAAGAGACTGAAAGCAAAGACTGAATGGATTGAAGCTCAGTGAAAAGCAACAGAAAAGAGACTGAAAGCAGATTGAGCACACAAGATTTAGACAAATGAAAATCCCAGGATGAACCAAATGAAGATAACTCTTCAGAGTACATACAAAGCCCAACCCCAATGCCGGAAGACACGAATGTTCATAAATAATAGATGTGTGTTTAATCATTTGTTAGAAAAAACTCGGCCTTTGAGGTTGTGATTACTTAGCAATTAGTTGATTATTTGTTGTTTAGTTTAATATTTCAATAATAGATACATGTTTAGCCAAATGTAAAGTTGTATTGTATTTTAAGTTGTAATGTTGTAATTACACACCTTGTATTTTTTGAGGAATTTGAGATTTATACATAAAGCATATTAATTTGCTATCATATTCTTTGTTTTCAAATTTATTGTCTGTTTTACATACGATTTTGCAATTTTTTTTAAAAAAAATTTTTGGCAATAGACAAACAACAACAACTAAATGAAATAAAAGATTGAAATAGATGTCATTCTCTGAAAAATAGGAGACCATAATCATTCTCTATCACATGCAAGAAAAATTAAAGAAACAACAATTCAAAAAAACTGAAAATGATTATATAATTGCAGCAACTAAAAAAATGCACCGAAATATCATAATCATCTACAAAATATACTATACTTAAAATGGCAGCAAAGACAACAACCCAATGACACGGTTCATAAACAAAATTCGAAAGGTGAGTCCAATCGACCAATCCAAGATGTATTAATCTGGTGTTGATAACAACCACCTCCAAATAAAAAAAAGAGACAAAAGATAGTCAGCTAATGCACAAATGGCATCCCATAAAATTATTTATTAACTACACTAAACATTATTTAAACCAAAGAAAATTTCACTAAATTTCGTCGGTAACAAATATTAAAATCAGGCTAGACTACTTTACCAACAAATTGACATTACTTAATATCCTCGTACGAGAGTTAAATTAGGAATATTTTGAATATACAATCATGTCACTCTGCAAATAAAGATAATACTTACAGCTGTGAAAATGAAGCAAGTTTCATTCCAAACTATTACATGTCGCCAAAAGATCCATAATTACGCGATGACTGAACCTGTATAAATGTAGGTGTTAGTATTCAAGTGAAAATACAACAATTTATTTCATTAAGCTACGATGTGTAATATAAATAATACCTCAAGTAATTGTGTGAAATTCATAGCATATTCGAGTCTTCGGGACATTGAGAATATATGTTTGGCATTGAATTAGGTGTTTCAATCTATAGTTAAAAATATGAATTAGAAAAACAAATCAGAACTATAAAAAATGAAAGATAAGATTTAAATTAATGTTAAAAAAAAAAAGTAAACCTGTTGTGGGGTTGTTTGATCCCACCTGAATGCAATGTCTTGTTCGTCAACAAATGGTTTATTTGTAAGTGACTGCATATGAAATAATATATTCATATTACTATCAAGTAAAATAAAGTAACTATATAGCAATACAATTAGTTCAATTTTATATCAACTAAAAATATTGTTCCTTGTACCTCATTTTGAGTTTTTTTCCTAGCATTTTTTTCCAATTCACTTTTCGGTCTTTTACCGGAGCGTATTCTTGCTTTTGTCTTTATACCCTTCACATGTATGTTGTCTTCTTTCTCCAAAGACCCTCTAACCCTTAGGCATGATTGCGTATCTCTCACATATGATTCTTCGCCCATAGCATTTTTGTTGTGTAAATATTCATTCACCTTCTCATTGGTCTTCAACAACGATTCTTTCACCAACTCATACATTTCTTTAGTTTCTGCAGCCCTTATGACCAATTTTTTGAAAAATAAACTCAAATCCTTAAACCTCGTGCTTGCCATTTTCTTTGGATCATCTTCATCTTGTTCCAATAGAACCACCCTTCCCATTTTAGCCGATTTTGTCCATCTTCTCATCACATATTTCTCTGGAATCTTGAAAACATTATTATTTGTGAGTACTTTCAACGCATGAGCACATAACAAACCGCCAAATTCAAACTTCTTGCAGCTACAAGAAACAGTTTCATTTGAGGAGTTCAATTTCACAATATGATTCTTTGATCTTCCCAAATAACTGACCTCATATACTGCTATTGTTTCTTCTGTGCCAACAAGAACCATCGCACAATCATAAGCCTTCCACAATTCTTTTTGAAAACCCTTAAAAACTTCAGGTGTATACACACCTGCAGCATGTTTCAAGATTTGAACGGGTATATGAAGGACTGGAGCACTTATACTTGCCTTGAAATCAGCCTTCAACTCTTCGTATCGGCGAGATTCAAGAAAATTTTCAAACCGTTCGAAAAATACTCGCAAAGGGTTCTTAGAACTTACATACCTTTTGATGACACTATTAATACCCTCACTACGTTGTGTCGTAGTAATATCAGCACAGAAAAATTGACGTCCATAAACCAAAGCCCATTTCTCTTTTACTCTAAACAACTTATTCAACCATTCATTCTCTAATATATCATACTTCACCAACATTTTATTCCATTCATGTAGAAATTCATCCTCTTCTTCACAATCATAAATGCATCTCCCAAAATCATGTGCAAAATCATTATATTTTTCAAATATCCCACCCAAATGTATTGCAGCATTTTGATATATATGCCAAATACATAACCTGTGACAAGTCTCGGGCCATCTTGTAGTCAATGCATTCGCCATTGCATGATCTTGATCTGTAAGAATAGTGGTAGGCTTTTTTCCACCCATGGTACTTGCAAACGTATCAAAAAGCCATTCAAATGAAGGAATGGTTTCATCGTATAAAAGTGAAGCACCAAAAATTATTGTTTGTCTATGGTGATTGACACCAACAAATAATGCAAAAGGCCGACTTTCTCTATTCTTTCTGTATGTTGTGTCGAAACTCACAACATCCCCGAAATCAGCATAATCTGCTTTCATTCTACTATCTGCCCAAAATATATTAGTTATCATATCATCCTCGTCCAATTGAATAAAATATGAAGAATTCGGATCTTTACTTTGCATTCCTTGCAAATACTCAAGCACTCCACCAGTATCTCCAAATTTTATATCTTTTGTTCTTTTCGTACGCAAATAATTCTTATGATCTTGTCTCGTAAATCCTAAGTTGTCACGGCCACCAGCTTCTTTAACCATGAGATCATGTGAGGCTTTTGGGGTAAGTCCCACACATTCTGCCATCTCAATTTAAGCCGCATGAGCATCAGTAATCCTCCTATGTGACCGAAACATATGGCTTTTCTAAGGACTTGTAAGATGATGTGTATGTTCTGAAATGAACTCAACAACTTCATATTTTGAATTCTCTCTCAGACAAATTTTTATTCTAGCCATGCAATTAAATCTTGTTATCGGCCGTGGAACTTTCACATTTTCTCTTCTCTTATCCTCTTCCCGCTTCCCTTCAGCACTACAAGCAAATATTCTGGATGTTATATTACCTTTTTTATCTTTATGCATCTTGTGCCTTTTGATTCCAAAACCTATTTCTTTAGCATAAGCTAAATAATACTGATAGGCTTCTTCCTCTTTATCAAATACCATTCCAATTTTAGGATTTCTCATTGTCGTTGTTCTATCTACATCAACATATTCAGACTTATTTTCTGTATTTGTGAAATCTAATCCATGAGATGACGAAGATATAGTCATCCCAAATTCATCAATTTCCATACCTGTAAAGTGAATCACGATTTATTTATTTAATCGCAGACAAAATCTCATGTTGTGAACTAGCACTCTAAAAAAAAGAAACCGCAAAAACTACAACCAAATTTCCATTGATATACAAACAAGAAAATCTACACAAATCAGCCCACAACAACTACTCAATTTTAAGTCAATTTATCTAAAAATAAGCATAATGTTGAAACTCCAAATTCAATTTGCATAAATAATTTTGAAATAGCTACTTCAAATATTGAGATTAGCCCAAAAATAACAACTTTTACCTAGAAAATGGGACGATACCAACGAGAACTCAACTCGGAGGGAAGTGTGAAGAAATGAAATGCGGCCGATCACGAGGGCGGCTGCTCGGTGAGAAAGGGCTGTTTGGCAATTTTGGCGGGCGACTGTTCGGCAAGAAGAAATGCGTTATTTGAAAACTTCTGCGGGCAGGGAAATCCGAAAGGCTGGAGATGGAAGAAATGAAAAGGATTGAAAAAACAGAGGGAAGGACGGCGCGTCAAAATTCTGAAAAGAAAAAGAAAAAAAATTTAGATCCAAAATGGAAGACCAATATGCAATTAAACACTAAAACTTTTTATTTAATTTACTTATTTTAATAAAATAATAAAATAAAATAAATAGAACACATGTCGCCTCTTTATTGGAGAGACATGGGGACAACAACATAAGTGAGACAGCAGAGCTCATGCCCCTCTCTACCCTTCCACAATCTTATCAAGAAAGAAACTAACTTAAACAATTCAAGTTTGAACATGAAGATATATGTGGAACAAATAAAAGAAGAAGAATACTGATACTTTATTAGTAATGAAAACAATAAATTTATTGTACATTATACTACTGAAAAGCAAGATAAGTTTTGCTGGAAAATGATTCCAGCGGAAACTAAGGAAGTGAGGAAAACTGCCATAAAATCCCTTGACCACCACACTAAACTAATGAAAAGAGTTTCTTATAGTTTTAGCTTTGAAGAATGAATTAAAATGATTGATTAAGTAATACATCTAATGCGTGAATAATATAGTTAATATGGCTAGTATATAAAGGCTAGAAGATTTGGCGGTTTGAACGGTTGAAATATCAATTGAACAACAGTTGTATTTTGGCAATTTTGTAGTTGAAATAGTTGTAACCACCATAACTCTCAATAGCTCAAGGCCCCCCTTTTCTAGAAGTTGGAGATAGGCACAGATCTTCCCCATGCTACAACAGGTCGCGCAAGACTTAGCTCTTGGAGTGAAATATGCCACTTAGAGTCACAAACACTTTCATTGTGGGTCTGGGTAGAGTAGTATTTCCGTCTGGAAGTTCACGCTCGCGGAGGTATAAGAGATGCACGCACATAGATAGTTCACTTGGACAGAAGAAGTTCGCGGCCTCTCAAACTTAGGTGGAAAACATAGTGCTTAGAGAAGTATCACTCGTTGATTTGTGTGTCTGGGCCTTTTAACGTCGTTGGATTTTGGTACTTTTGGCCTGAACTTCACATAATTCTTGACTAAAAGTTACCATATCTCATATAAAAACACTTAGATCATATCAAGCGAAATATTACAATAATATAAGCCATAAATTAGATATTGGGATAATTTTTGCACAATAATATATATAATAAACTTGTTTTGAAAGTAGAAAATATACTCAAATTTGAGGTTAATCATCAACCAACAAAACATATATGTTACTCAATCCTTACAACAAGTGATAGGGAAAAATTCGAAGAGAACAAATATTAATCGACAACCTAAGGGGAATTTGTTTTTTCAAATTAGGTGGGAAAATAGAAATATAAATATATATTTTTTTAATAAAAATTTATTTACAAAAATATATTATATGTAAAAAATGAGACATTTTTTATTATTTTAAATTGATAACTTATTTCACATAATAGTAAAAAAGTTCAAGGCGTCTTTCTTCGATTTTTGCATAACCTTTTTCTTTCTAATAAAATCTATATTAGATATTCAAAATAATTAGATTTTTTATTTAAAAAATATAAATTCATCACTTGTTATTAGATATATTTTTATTAACACTTACCAAAAAAAAATAGTCACCACGGGATGGCGGACCGTAACAATTGCATCGTAACCAATGAGAATTATGGTTACGCAAAATTCCGTAACAAAGAAAGTATTTTTGTCAACGTTTTAGATTTATTAATTATGCAAAATTGTTCATGACAATTTTCTACATGGTAAAATTTAGTTACAATAACATTAGTTACGATAAGATTTCGTATGAACAAGCATTATAAATTCATTTTTTTAATTAATTAAATTTATTATTTAAAAATTTATAGAAAAATAAAAATAAAATAAAATACATTAGTTCACTCTTTAACCCAGGAGGATTTTTTTATTGTTATTTATTTAATTTAATTGCAATTTTGGGCTCAGTTTAGTATGTTTTGGAAGATATATATTGAATGTTTTAGTTTCTATGAAAAATAGTAAATGAATAATGTTTAATGTGAAGTATAGGAAGAATAAATAATTACTCAGTTTGATGCGATTGTTTTTTTTATGTAGTTTTTTTTAATTGTATATTTTGGTTTTTTTTTTTTAACTATAGAGGAGTTAAGATAAATTTATTTATATGTGTTTAAATATTTACCATATATAATATGAATATTTGTATATAAAATTAATCTATATATATATATATATATTTTCATCAATTTGACAATACTTTCGTTTTCGTACTGTACTTTATACATTAAAAAAATAATAATGATAACCAAGTAATGTTGATATTTTATATTATTTTAAACAATTTTTTATATGACAAACAAATATTCTTACGGATATTTAAAGTGATTGTTCACTACCTTACTTATATACTTTATCTAACTAAAATTAATATTTTTCTATAAATATTATATATTATGATATCAGCATGTAACCGTGCTATGCACAAGTTATTATTATATTAAATTATATGATGCTTTAATTTTTTTTATATAAAATATTCTTATATATAAAATATATATTATTCGAATCAAATCACTTTGAAAAATAAAATACACAATAAAAAAAATTTTAAAAAAAATATTTGTAAAAAATAAGAATAAAAAAAATCGATAATAAATTAAATATATGCAAAATAAGAATGAAAAAATTTATTAGTAAAAAAAATATAATAAATAATTCTAAAAATACATAATAAACATAAATATACTAAAATAAAAATAAAGTTATATATTAAACTTTATTATAATTTTACATATGAATTTTTAAAATATTTTTTTAAATTAAAATATTCAAAATTTAAACATAATGTACAAAATAATAAGATAATTAGAATATACGGCTAAAAAATTAAATCAATTAAAAAAATACATAAAGATATTATTAATTAAAAATAAAAATAATACAATAGATGATTTAAAATACACATGTACATAAAAATAAAAATACTAAAATAAAATAATTTTTTATATATTAAAAATTATTGCAATTTTGAGCGTGTTTCGCCATTATTTGATAACTGTTAGCTGCTAGCTAATTCAATTAGCTGATAGTTGTTAGCTTATTCAATTAGCTAGTTTGACTAGCTGATTCGATTAACTGTTTGTATTATAATGTTTGGTAAACAACTGTTTGATATTAGCTGTTCATACGTAAAATGACAATTGAGGACATTTCTATTTTATGTTTTGTTAATATATTCAAATGTTCTTTTGAGTTTAGAATGTTTAACAATTTTTTGTTATTAGTTATTGAAAATTGTAAAAGTATTATAAAATTATTTATTTTTATTACAGTTAGATTTTAAAAAATAATATATTTTTATTAAAATATATAAATAGTTTTTTCCAGTAAAATTTAAAATAATAAATTTTTCGTTTATATATTTATTATGTTAGTTATCGATTAGTTCATTATATTTATAATTTTCAATAAATTTAATTTATTTAATTTATTTTTAGTATAAAATTTATATAATGTATTTTTTAATATAAAAATAAATTATTAATATTTATATTTTTTATTTTATGTTGATTTTAATAAATTTATATATTTTACAATTAAAATAATTTTTTATATAAAAATTAATTATTTTAAATTTATAAAAGTAAAACTATATTACAATAAAATATTATAATATAATTAATAAATTATCAAAATATATTTATTTGTATAAAATGCATAATAAATTTTTAAGAGCATATAAGGAATAAAAAATTTTTTACAGAAAAAGTTATTTCAAAATGTTGGGTAAGTTAGCTTTTCAGAAATTAGCTTTTTGGGTCCAAAAAGCTATTCCAAAAAACTAATTTACCAAACACCTAAATTAACTTTTTATTGGTCAAATAGCTAAAAATTATTCAATAAACTAAAAACTCTTCAAAAAACTATTTTCCAAACACCCCATTTATATATGAATTTTAAATATTCCTTCAAACGTAAAAACTTGAAATTTGAACATAGTCTGTAGAGTTGAAAAATATATATATATTTTTTCTATTTATGAAAATGGAGCTCATTTTCTTTATAAATTACATAAAGAATGAATATATTTTTCGGTAGAGAATATTCGAATATAATACTTAAAATTAAATCAACATAAAAAATATATAAGAATGAAATCACTAAAATAAAAATAATATCTTTATATATCAAATATAAATTTTTGTATGAATTTTTAACATTTTTTTCAAATCAAAATACTCAAAATTTGGATATAATTTACAAAATCGAAAAATATATTAGAGTATAATATTTCATCTGTCTCTTATCTATCTATCCGTTTATTTTTTTGCATGAAATTTTAAAAATATTAGTATTATATTGGGATGTGGTATGAATAAAGTAGAAATCACTAAAATAACCTTATTTGTATTGCGTGATGTAAAAGTAATAATATTTGTGTAATATATTGTAAATTGTAAGGGCATTTTAAACGTTAGTACAATTACTAAAAAGAAAAATAGATAGTTTATTATGAGATGGAACAAAATAGAAAAATTGATACTCTTAAGAGACGGAGTAAATATTTAGAACCAAATCAATTAATAAAAATATATGTGCAATTTAAATTTTTTTAAAAAAATTGATAAGTAAAAGTAAAAAGAATAAAATAAATAATTTTTTAAAAAAATGCACACAATTAGAATAAAAATAATAAAATAAAAACAATTTTTTATATATTAAACTATACTAGTATGATTTTCTATATCAAAGGGATATGATAAATTTTAATTTAGAAAATCTTTCAAAATAAAGAAAAAAAAAATGACGGATAAGCTAAATTAGAGAAGAAAATTTACTATGATCATATTGTATATAAGAGTTATTCACGAATGTGTATAAATACGCCTTAACTAACCAACGAAAATCACAAATTTAAAAATATAAAAATAAAAAATCAAGATAAAAAAAATAAACCAAAAAAAATCTATCACGTTTTGTAAAATTTTGGTCGAACTACAAACATTCAATGTTTTTCCAAATATGGGCAGTTTTTGAGCGAAAATCACTTTATCATTTTTTTGAACTGTTTTAGCTTCATTATTTATTAAATATCTTTAAATGTAATTAGATTGGGCTTTCAATAATTTGAGTTTACCAATATATATATAATTATAGCAACAAATTCTAATTTTATCCAAATAAATAATATTATCACAAATTAATTATGCAAATTCAATATTTACAAAATAAAATTTTTTCAAAAATCCTTGTCAAATATATATATATATATGAGCAATGAGTTTTTATTTATTTTTTATCATTACAAATTATTTCTTCAAATTAAACTTGTCATGTATTGATGGTGGTTGTATTCATGTGGTTACTATGGTTATTAGTTACTGTCGTTATTTGTAAATTTTGTTATAATAAAAAATTATAATATAGAAATTTGGTTTGTAAAAATGAAAAAAATATTTTTATTTGTATATACAAATCATATTTTTATGAATTTTGTATCCTCTTCATGTTGATTAAAATTCAGGAGGATCCTGAATGTTTTTAATCCGTTTGATCATTTCTACCAGCAATTCAACAATTGAGTTTGATCGAGGGTATTTTGGAAAATTAAAAAATTAATTAAGATATCTAATAAAAAAAATCAATTAGAAAAAATTATCGTAATTACCTCCGATAATTTCGGGATTAAGTTTTTCTTAAATAAGATAAAAACGTTTGCAAATAATTACTTTCAAAATCGGATACATTCAAATTATAATGATGTATACAGAAAATGATGTCTCTATAATTACTTTCAACTCTTCATACTAGTAGGAGGTTGATCAAGGGCAAATTAGTTTAATTCAACACTTTTAAATTTGGATAAAGTAGAATGCTCTTTATCTTGTTGGTTTCAAATATAATTTCATAGAACAATCGATTAAATTATATTAGAAAATTAAAAAAAACTGTCTCAAGAAAATAATGTAAACTATTTTTTTTAAAAAAAAATTTTAGGCTACATATCATTCGCACAAATATTGAATTCGAAAATTAGGATAAATTTAATGTATCTAATTGAACTAATGGAAGCCTGCAAGTCCATCGATTAAATAATTCTTGTGTACAACTATTGATACGTTGAATGACTAATACGATTATGATGCATGTACATTTAGAATATGATGTTCAGAAGATAGGTATATGATGTAATAAATATTCGTCAATACGTTACTTTCGCGATCGATAAAAAAAACTTACCAAATTATGTAATTTCTAAAATGTTATCTTCGTCCACAACACACTGGAACCGACCGATGCTTTATCTTGTTTTACGTTCCGATTTCTTCACAATTTATTTTCTAGGATTGATATCGGTGAAAAAAGATGGAGTTATCTTTTTTTTTTTTTTATGTGAACCGACTAAAATTAAGAATACGACATGCATCTATCTATATTTATATTCCTTTAATTTATGCTAAAACAAAGCATTAATTTATTAATTATAAAAATCAAATTACATATCTACCCTTATCTGCAATCTCGATTGCATCTGTTGATTAAAATTTTGATCTGACGGCTGAAATTTTTTTAGGATAGTCCTGAACATTGTATTTAGGACCATACCCGAATTATATTTTTATATAGGAAAGTAAGTAGGTAATATAAAAATAATGAAGATATATAATATATTAATTTATTTTTAAAAAATAAACTATTAATTTTTATTTTTTTTAAAAAAAACGCACTCTTATATTATGAGTAGTGAGTGAATAGTAAAAAAATTATCAAATAAAAAGTAGAACATTTGAAATTAAACATTTAATTTTTTTAATAATTATTTAAATTTTCATTAAAATTTATTTTGTTCTGATACAGAGAATTATTTTAAAAATATAAAATATTATTTTGGAATCACAATTCCCAAAAATTCTTGGAACCAAAATAAATATATATATTTTTTTTGATAACGTGAGAATTCACAGTCACAGCCACTACTCGAGAGTGAGCACTTGGTAAACCCTCGTTGAATCTAATACCCTGCAAACTGGGTAAATATATATAAAATATATATATATTTTTATGACGTAGGAACCCGCAATCGCTACCGAAAATAGGTAAACCCACGACAAACCATGTGTAGCAGGTGACTTGAAGCATCGAGGTTTTGAACCCATAATGACCTCACACGTCCAATCCCCATGTCCAATCCCTATGCTAGGTAAAATATATATATATTTTTATGACGTAGGAACCCGCAATCGCTACCGAAAATAGGTAAACCCACGACAAACCATGTGTAGCAGGTGACTTGAGGCATCGAGATTTTGAACCCATAATGACCTCACACGTCCAATCCCCATGTCCAATCCCTATGCTAGGTAAAATATATATATTTTTTTATTATACGAACCAAGGTTTAAAAAGTACTTTTTTCATCCATTAAAATTAATCTATTTGGGCTCGGCACGAAAATTAAGACAAATGAATATTTTATTGAAAAAGTGATAGATAGTTGAGGGTATTTTTGAAATTTTAGTTAAAAAAATTAAAGCAAATGAATAGAGAATGTAATAAAGTTAGTGATATTTGTTGTAAATAAGTGTTGAATAGAGGGTAATAATTAAATGTTAGATTTGTTATTTTGTCAAAATTAATAATATGATAAATTCGATGGACAATAAAAAAAAAGTGAATAAATTTGGCTGACGGTCGAGGACAATTAAGAATAAAAAGTTGCTCTAAATTTAATTTTATTATTAATAGTATTTAAATAATTGAGAGAGTATTGTAATAAATCCCCTTGAAAATTAATCTGATTTCCTCGGAAGCTAAAACAAACGCTGCTGCGTTATTTTAATTTGTTTGTGCGTGTCGGGTGGGTTGGGTTCGGCGGCGACTGCACAGAAGAAAAGATGGGGTGGATAGGCGACCAAATGGATTCCATTAAATCTTTGAATTTCCGGCAAGTTCTAACTCAAGCCATCAGCCTTGGTTCGTATAATCAACTTACTTTTGTTTGTTATCGACTTTTTTCTTTTTCTTTTTCTTTTTTTGTTTTTCTTGCGGAGATCTTATTGATTTATTTGTCTGTGTGTCTGTTGAATGAATGATTTAGGGTTTTTTTTTTTAAGTTTGCATCCTTAGAGAATGCTTTGCTGCCGCTTCTTTGTTGCTGAAATTACTACTTTTTTATATATAATTTTCGATTCTCCTTGTTTTGACCCAGTTTTAGTTACGACTGTGAAAAGATTTAGTTGACTCACTTTTGTGCGCTTCGCATCGATGCAGCAAGGGATTGATAGATTTTTGGGAGAGAAGATAAAGACATTATGTGATGAATTGACTCTGACATATTTTTTCTTAAAAATTACATCTGCATTTAAGTTTAGATGGAAGTGTGCAACTGCATTTGGTCAGGAAGATGTTGCTGATTTATATGCTAAGGTCTCTTTCTTTTGTTCTGTAAAATTTTGTGACGGTAGTGTAGTAGCTAACTGTTTCCAGCTTTAAGTATTCTTCTGCAAATGCACCTGCCAAGAATTTGATTATATGTATGATTTCTGAGATCTCTCTGTCTGAAAAATTTCTTATGAAAATTGATGCTTGTAGTAATTAGATTTTGAGGTTGTCACTTTCAGTTAAATCTTCAGCATTTAGGAAAGGTTAGCTTTCTGGGATGCAAATCTTTCACTTGCTCAAATTTGATGCTTGTTCCCATTATCATTTACTTATAATTCTGTGTCGAGGCACACTTATTTGTTAAAGATGCGAGGAGTTTGTCACTCTCTGTTAAGGGTCATAACCAACTCTCTCTAAGAAGTATCTGACCACAGTCGTATCGCTTATCATTTCTTCCAGGTATGATTGTTACATCAGCCCTAATAATATGGAAAGGGCTAATGTGCATTACTGGCAGCGAATCACCTGTAGTTGTTGTGCTTTCTGGAAGTATGGAGCCTGGATTCAAAAGGGTAAGCCCTTGCTTGTGCTATCATTTAGCTACTGCTCCTTGGGATACTGATTTTTACCCTTTTTTCTATCTTTAGTTGACTAAATCATTTTTAAATATTATGTTATCATTGATGTTTTTTTGGATGCTTTATTTTTGCATCCAAAATCCACTTTGTTCAGCTTTCAGCACTTTGAGGGTTGGATGAGGGATCGAAGATTTTTGTTTAACCAACATAAAAAATAACTTAAAAGTAAAAATCACCCAGGATTTATCTATGATTCTGCCTATATATATTTTGACTGTTCTTGTTCTTATGCATGTCTTCTAGAACTTCAAATTACCAAGTGCTGATGAAGTCTTAATATCTCTAATAGATGGTTTATTGAGAAACTTCACATGCTTTTTAATTTTCATTATATATAGATATGTGGTGTGTGTGTGTGTGTGTATGTAATATTTGGTTTAATTGTTATTAGGGTTGTTTAGACTATAGATTTTTTATTCAACCAAAACAGCTTACATTTACTCTTTTTTATTTTTAAATTAATTTAACTTAACAATTTTCTAATTGTAAATACACTTATCAAAATTGTGTGACACAATACTTTTTTCGTAATTTTAACTTCATTGTTTAATCTATTTCAGGGTGACATTCTCTTCCTGCACATGAGCAAGGATCCTATCCGTGCTGGAGAGATTGTTGTGTTTAATGTTGATGTGCGTGGTACAAGTATCACATTTTCTATTTGTCATATACGTCTTGGTTATTATTCCTATTCCATTCCAACTTTTATCCAAAATGGCTCCTTAAGCCAATATGATATGATGAAAATGTTTCTTTTACTTAGACTGTTTCAGAAGCTTTCAAGCTTTGTACTGCTAATTCAGGCTTTATGTATTTTCTTCCAAAAATATATTGGCTGAAATATTAAGAAATCATGCAATCTGAGGGTATGTTCACTTTGAAGTTTTGTTTAGCTCTTCAAATTGGGTTTTGGTTTAAATAATTTTGATGTTAATTTTGTTGAAATAGTGTATTTTATTTGGGATTGTGAGATTTGAATGGTTAAAAAGTAAAGAAAAAAGCCAAAGTGAACACACCATGAAAATCTCAGCCATTTCGAGACATGTTTAACGTTCTGGTATCCAGTTGATTTTTCAAGACAATCCATGTATTCAAAAAACTTAGGATTGTGGTTTTTCTCTGTGCTCTTAATAAATAAAGAAATTTCTCTCATCTAAGCAGATATCAATTACCGCCACCATCAAGTTAATGTTAGTCATAACCATATGTTTAATATCCAGTGTTGTGATCATGTTTCTAATATGTAATTACATATTTTTGCCTCTCTCAGGGACGTGAAATTCCTATTGTCCACCGAGTTATCAAGGTATGATGGTTAATGTCTTTAATGTCCTTGTGATTCTTTGATATAGATATAGTAACAGTATTGGATGTGATAGCTGATGTTTTCTTTCCCCTTCGAGTTCTATATACAAATTTACACACATTTGTTTTATGTATGAGTCATTATCCAAATTCCAATCGCCTTTAGATTTAAGGATAGAGCAGCGAAGATAGAAATGTGAAACAGATCAATTCTAGGAAATAGTATTTTGGTGAGAACCTGTGGAATAAATTAAAATTGTGGGATATGTATCAAATGAAGTGGGAATGGTCCTTTTATGTACAAGCATTTTATATTTTCTCCTTTCGTCTTAACTGAATCTGTATCCTTTGATACAGAGTTACATTTATATTCAAGTGCATCGATGTCTGCATCAATCCATAACAGCATTTAATATTATTTACATTGAAATTATCTCATAAATGTTTCTACTTTCGTTTCTGATTATACATACATCAGCATGTTCATCTATATTTGTCAGTGTTTATTATTCTTAACAACAGTGCTTGATAAGAAATATTAAGAAGACCTAATCCCTGGTTTATCCTTTTACTTGCTTTCATGATACACTCAATTCTCATGTTTTTTCATCTTTCTACTAAAATTTATTTAGGTTCACGAACGTCAAGATACAGGAGAAGTTGATGTTCTAACAAAAGGTATGTATTTGACTACTCAAATTTAGCTTCCCCCAAGACAGTTCTGAAAAGACTATGCATGTTTACCATGCTTGATAGGATATGTATTTTATCATCAGCAATGATTCTATACTCTCATCCTATTCTTCGTAATACACATCCTCGTATGCACACTACTAAACAAATGAATTAAAAATATTTTGAAATCACAATTTGTTTTACGTTTATGCATGCTTGTGCAAGCTGGGTGGTTATGCTGTGAATTATGCTCTTAAAATCATATTGATAGGAATAGATATGATACATTTATATATGTGTGTGTGTGTGTATGTGTGTATTCTTTTCAAATGTATATGTGCAGTTATTAACATCTCTAACTGATCTACCAGGAGACAATAACTTTGGGGATGATAGACTTCTATATGCTCATGGTCAGCTCTGGCTGCAAAGACATCATATTATGGGAAGAGCTGTTGGGTAAGTTTGTAATCGATATTTTTAGTACTTTTCCCGAGTTTCTGATAGCAGGTTGTCTGATGTTCAGGTGTTATTAGTTTATGTAAAAAGTTAAAAGATGTTCAAAGTTAGATGTTGCTACCTTTTCTGAAGCAAAAATAGTATACTACAAGAAATTCAAATATAATGAATCCATAGTTTATAAGTTGTATCTTGAAGAAGCAGATAGATGTCCGATTGCTCCCTTATTCACAATTGTTATAAAGATTCTGAGTTTTAATACAGACTTGGTAGTTGGTACAGCAAGCTGACTTACAACAGAGAACCTCAGTGTAGTGCAGACTTTGTCACATGGCATTGGTTATAGATCGATGTAGTTATACCTACTTGGTCGAGTCCAGTTCTCCTTTCCTGGCTTACATATCCTGTACTATGCTTTAAATTCTTTTATAAATAAAGTACAAGTTCTCAAAATAATAATAGTAATAACTGATGTCATTGGCTATGTAGAAGAAACTTTGCATTAGCATTAGAGAAATTATTAAACTGACCTTCAGAGAATTGCATATTCCTCTGATGAGTTATGTGGAGCCAAGAGGTTCTTTTTTATTTGGTGGGTCATGAAACCTAAATAACAATCATCTTAGTTTGACTTTAGGTGTAACATTAGCTTCTTTTTTTTCCTTTTATTTTCTGCATATCTCTAAGATTCCTACCCTTGTTCATAAATATCATTTTTGTTTCTTTTTCTCATTCTGGTACGGTGAAAACCTGTTTTTAGTGGTGGAACTGAAACTAACTTGACGAATTCGTAGGCCATGTTTAATTACATTTGAGTTGCTTTGGTCAGAATTTATATTAGATAATACTTCCTCCGTCCCACTTAATATTGTCTACTTTAGGTTAGGCACGGAGTTTTAGGGTATTGGATAATTAGTAATAATTAATAAGTGTATTAGTAAAAATAATTATAATTTAATAAAAATAATTATAGATTAAGATTAAAATGACTAAATAATTTAATTAAAATAAAAAATATATAAATTATAAATTTTAAAATGTGATTAAAGTGTAAAATTATATATCCAAAAACAAAAATGACAAATTATGTGAGACGGACGAAAATAGAATGTAATACCTCGGCCTGCTCAAACCGGAGTGTCACCGTCATGCCATACCGGAAGACTCATTCATCAACCAACGAGCCCTACGTTGTGGCGCTAAGGCTAAAATAACCAATACAAACAACTAATTAGAGATTTAAAATTAAAGCGCCCTGGCTTATCATTTAAATAAGTAAAGTTCGAGTAAAAAACGTAAGTTGGAAATAGTTCAAAAGACATTAGTTCTTAAACATTAATAATGAATTTCAAAACCATTCTGGAAGGTAAAGTAGTTCTAGTTCTGCCCGATGGATCATATTACGTGGATGCATCATTTAGGCATAACGGAAGCACCATCACCTACAAAATGGTTCGTAGAAGGAGGGTCAACACGATGGTTGAGTAAGCACAATTAATCGAAGATAAATTAATATTGTATAAGTCATGATTCAGGTGTAAATGCCACAAAATTATTTGAAGAAGATAATTTGAATAAAATGTCACATATCACATAAGGACAAGTCTTTTAGTGTCTCCCTTATGTCTCCTTTTTATTCTCAAGTAATTGTGATGAACACATCACGAAGAAAACTCCACTAGGCCTTAATTAGGGCTGGCTCGACCCGATTATCCAATTTTATTACTTCGTATGTCACGTCACATAATTACACATAACAAACATATGGTCATAACCCTCAAGAAGAGCTCCACAAGATGTACCTAAGGGTTTGAAGCTCAAAGTACATGTAAGTCAATTTATTTATTAGTTTGTGATGGACGCCAAACGACCCACAACCCTCTAGTCTCCAATATAACATACCAAGAGGGGATTGGACGCAATCCATCCCTCCATCATGGATGACGGTCTAAAGACATTATCATCGTGAATGACAAGCACCTCGGAATCACCCAAAAAGGGAACCCGCCATCTCGATCCCTCGGCCTAGTCCATTCGGGTTTTAGTTTGTGGTTAGCTAGTTATCCTAACATACCGGTATACCCTCACATGTTTGCAAGGCACAGAGGTGGAATTCTATGCCTTATCATCCAAACAATCGACGAGTTTGATCGGATTCGACAGATAATTTCAATTACCAATTTGACCAAATACTCAACATGCTATTAGACAAATTTAAAAGAGAGCTTTAAACTCAAACCTTTCCAATTGCCAACATCTAACCAAACAAAAAGTAGGATATTAAAACTCAACAAGTTCGTTATAATCTCATTTTATTTCGCCAAATAAACATTTGAATAATATGTCCATCCTGATAGACATAATCTACCTCTAAAAATCATAATCTTTAAACATAATCATAAATCTTTTTCCAAAAAAAACCATAATTAGGTTAGTGCAAAACTATGGTTTCAAACCCATTCCATAAATTCTACGATTGTCAATTTAAAATACTATAATAATCTTTACATAAGCCCTAGGGGACATTATAATCAGCTTTCTAGAAAAAAATAGCAAAACCTAATACTTTTAAAGCAAATCCATATGAAAATAATTTTAAAAAATATCAACAAAAGGGGTTTAGGGATTAGAACATATCAATTATCTAAGATTAATCCCACTTACCTTAAGAGAAAAATCCAAGAGGAGAAGAGTCTTGAGAAGAAAACCTCAAGGAAGAAGAGGAAGGTGTTGGGCCCCATGCTGGAATGCTGCTCCCTATTTCTCTCTTTTAAATAAAATAGACATGGGCCTTCTTACCTAGTTACTTTTTTTTATTTCTTTTGGGCCCAACTTTGGCCCAAACACCGTAACACCCTTAATTTTAATCAAATTATAATGTTTCTCACACCAAAAGCCCAAACAACTTAAGCCCCAAATAATATCTTCCGACTCCGGCATCGGATTCTGGCCAGCTCCGGAAAGCTCCGGAGAACTTCTGGCGATTATTTTTTGGGGTATTATATAGAAAGAGTGGACAAATTAAGTGGGATGGAGAGAGTAGTAATTTGAGTTGATTTGGTCAGAATTTTCTATTACATGTATGTTTGGCAGGCTTATTGTCTTTGCCATGTCTTGCTTTGCTTTCATTTGTTATAATCATATTTGCTTTTCTTGTGATGCAGCTACTCATGATATTGGCACAATGATACCTCAAATTCAAACTATGTGCACTTCTATACATTGTTATCGATATTCTACAATTTTGGCCTTTTGTTGATTGTATACAGTTTTTGGTTTTTCATTTTTTTTTTCATGTTCCATTGTGCAGCCCCATGTTAAATCAATGTTTTGTGTGCTTCATCTTGGCAGGTTTTTGCCTTATGTGGGTTGGGTGACGATAATCATGACCGAAAAGCCTATCATAAAGGTTAACTTTTTGTAACAAAATTTGATGATGTTGCAGCATTTAAACAATAAATCACCTCAAAGTTACTTCCATCAAAACAGACATGTATTTACTCTTGAATGATTTATTAAGTCATCTCAGTTTGTCTCTGACTTGGTTTTCGTGTTGCAGTATATACTGATAGGTGCTTTGGGTTTGCTGGTGATCACTTCAAAAGAATAGCCTAAGGTGATTGATGGAAGAGGAGGAATACAGGTGATGAGTCGTATATTCTTGGACAATTTTCGAAGTTGCGATGGATTTGTGTCCTGGAATTGGGAATTGGGAATCGGAATGTGTTGTTGGATGAGGAAACTAACTACAATGGGAGGGGTGGGGAGGGGAGTAGAGTATACTTTTAATTGTTAAGTGGGTTATGTAGTTCTCTCTGTCTGTGGATCAATTTGAGTATGTTAAGTGTTGTTGGATTACTTACTGCAACATATTTTTATGGTTAATGGGTGGAGTGGGGTGGGGTATAAATGCATTGCTGCTTCTTTTCTAGTTTAATGTCATTTTAGCAAGCAAGTTGAAGCCAGAGAAATCAGTAACCATATCAGCCTTGTCTAGTATACCTATCTATCTGTCTTCGTAAAGTTCCTTCACAGGAGATTTAATAGTAAACCAAAGTAATTATTAAAACATCATGTTATATTAGTATAAACACAAAGAGCAAACACATCTAATGAACCTATTTCGGTGAAGGTATTCATGGTGTGATTGTGTTGGGAAATAGTTAGAAGGTATAGGGAATTATTTAAATAATATAAAAATAATCAGTCTTATAATATATTCTCTCATTTCCAAATCAAAAGGGTCTCATAGGTTTAATAGTCAGCAGAAGGGCGTAAGAGTTTAACATTTTTGTCCGTTGATGTAATTGTATTTGTAATTTAAGTAAAAATTAAGATATTTTGATAGAGTAAAAATTATTTGTAGTCTTGTTCAATATTACAATTATCAGTTTTGGTCCCATTGAGAATTTTGTTTTATTAATTTTGGTCTTAAATGAAAAATTATCAATATTAGTCCCAAGATGATTGATTGGGACTGAATACGGCCGCGTTGGATGACTCGAAAGGGTGACTGAGTGACAGACGGTCGTTACACACTGAAAAATTTAAATAAAATAACATACTTCCACAATAAAAATAATGTAGGATCGTCTCCTTAGGGAATTAAAGATATTTTATTTTCGGTTATTTAATATAGATATAATAAAAGGGGAGTTTGGAATATGGAAATAAAAATAAAATAACAAATTAAACATCTACGACTAAAAGATAAATTCAATAAAAATAGACTCCAGTCTAGGAATGAAATTGACAACTTTGATGGTGGATTTGATCATCGATAAATATTTAATTTCATTGTTTTCTAAATAAATTAGTTATAATTACCGATACGCGTCTAATAATTAACTATTCCTTAATTTCTCGACAGTTTAGGTACGTCTGTCAATTGTTTCCCTAGTTATACTAGACCCTAGTGACGCCAAGAAGAATTTACTAGTATAACTGTCTTGCGAATTAGAAGAGTCTAATTCAATTTAACAATTACTAATGCGAATTGTTTAAAATTGGTTATGTGATTTCCTAGTGATGTTTGTCCCTAGTTGCTACTTGAGCCAAATTAATACGCAATTATGAACGCCTATTTCAGTTTAGCAATCAATCTTCAATTCAATTGAAATATTCGGCCGAAAGACACAACTAAAATAAAGACTATAAATCAAAGAAATCAGAATCCACATAAATACTTAGGAACAAAAAAAATATCATAAATAAAAAAAAGTCTAATCTCCCAAATTCATACCAAGTTGTTTTTCACTCATAAACTAGGAAAGATAGATCTCTACTCGCTTATCATAAAATGAAGAACAAAGAAAGCAAAGATAAACGACTGAGAATTATGTTGGTAGGGGTAGAACTCGAAATCTTCTTGGAGGAATCTTTCTCATTCTTGCCCTTGTGCGATTTCTCTCTGGATTGTTCCTCACGGTGTTCTCCTCCTTGTTATGAATGTGGCAAGTGGTGTCTCCCCTTCTTTCTTTTATTTATATTTGCCCTAATTTTGTAACAATTAAACTTTGGGCCTTTTAATTAATTCTTCAAGTTATTGAACCTTTTTGTTCTCTTTTCCCTTTAATTCTATCAATTTTATTTTTCTCCTGCAAATCATAAATAAATAATATATACCCAAATTACGTAGAATCTAATCAAAATCAACCAAATATCGCAAATAATATGAATATTTAACGCATGTGATTTCTGGCTATCAAATCTCCCCACACCTAGATCATGCTTGTCCTCAAGCATAATTTCGAAACAAGCCAAAAGAAATCGCAAGTGACTCAATATGAAAAAAAAATCTAACACAACCAAATAAATCGAAAATTCAACATATCAAGCCAAGTAACTCTCACAGGATAAAGTGTATGCGCACATGCCCTTTGAAAGAAATAAGTGTGTATAATTAGCTAATGCTCAAGTAGTGCGACAAAAGATTACCCAATAGGTTTGAATGAAAATCAAATCTCCCTTGCTTAAGATATTCAAATCTAACATCAAAAATCAAATGGACTTTTTTATAAAGGTTGTAATGGGGCTGATGGTTAGGGGTAGAAAAAAGGATATGCGAAGGCTAAAATATGTCAGAAAAGAAAACAATAATAACACGATGCTAGCACGTGAAAAACAGTTCGACATAAATAAACCCTTACTTTATTCACTACCCGAACTTCAATAACATAATTATATCAATAATAGTTCATCAAGATTTTTTTTTGGGGGGGGGGGGGGGCCTTTTTATGTTTTTGTTTTTTTGCCTTTTTTTTTTTAAAATATATATATATACGTCTTTCACTACTCGTTCTCATTGCAGCAATCACTTCTGAATACGTTAGTTATTTATACTCAAACTTCGTTTCTAACTGGTGCCAAACAAATAAGGTGCATCACAACGTGAACTTAAAGTAATTCTTTCTAACATAGGGTTAAAATCGGAGAAGAATTAATATCAAAAGAAGGGTATGAGGTTAAATGACTGTTTAATATAGAAGAAAAATAGGCTAAAAAGTTTCAAAAGGACTAATTAGGGAAAATATATTGTGATGGGTGATAAGAAAGGCTCAATGAGTTACCTAATGCCCTTATCATTTTTAAAATGCAAGACTCGATAGTTGCAACTTCAACATGCATAGTCACTCAAGTTTTAGGTCATATAATTGAGCATCACATATCACACAAGAAAGAATATTTAAAAGTTTGATAATATGTAGCTTATTTTCTAATGTAAGCTTTTTGCAATATAGACTTGAATTCTCACACGGTTCAAATGTCAACCTGGCTCAATATATTTCAAATTCAATGTCATCAATCATGTCAGACTAACTTATCATACAAACCACCTTTGACTCACTTCAGACAAATCTAAAAAACATGCGAAAACAAATCAGGCATAAAAAGTAGTACAAAATGAAAATTTTGCCCAAAAAATTTGCATCGCTCTCTCCCCACACCTAAAACATACATTATCCTCAATGTAAACAAAAAAAAAAGTAAAATACGAGATGAACTTTCCTAGAGTTCGTAGGCTTAGTGCGACTGCATGTTTTTGCTTTGAATTTCAAAGTTCCTCAATTTGATTGTGCGTCTCTTTCAGCCAATACCAAAATTGATGGCTCACCGAGGTCGGATAAGCTGAGCAGGAAGGAAGAAGAAGAAAGGCGGCGGCTTGGTAGATCGCCATTTAGAAATTAGGTTTTTTTTAAAAATTCTCCAAGAAAATTGCCTACAAAAAAATAAAGAATCCAAATCAAATAGGCGATGTTTAAAAATTAAAAAATAAAACAAAAACTATAGAAAATAAAAAATCAATCGGAAAAATTAATTCGTTAACTTGCACTAGGACATCTTCAATCATTCCTTTAAGGTAAGCATTTTTCCTATCGGCTAACTGTATAATAATTCCGATTTCTTATAAAGGTCCAATATTTAAAGACTTATAAATAGACTTAGGCATCACATTAATTGCAGCTTCTAAATCTAACATTGCTCGTTAATCTCCAACTTACCTATCTTACAAGGAACCGAGTATATACTTGAATCTCCACATTTAGGAGGAAGCTTACGTTGTAAAATGGCAGATACGCTCTCGCCAACAATAATGTATTCGTCTCCACGTAGTCTCTTCTTGTTTGCGCAAAGATCCTTCAGAAATTTTGCGTACTTCGGAACTTGCTTGATTGCATTCAGTAGGGGTATGTTCAATTCCACCTTTTGAAACATCTTCATCATCTCTTTATTTTTGCCATCCTTCTTTGGTTTCGCCAACCTGCAAGGGAACGGTGCAACATTAGTTTTAGTATTAGTAGGTGTATCAAAAGGTACCTTGTTCGATGTTTCAGTGGTGGCTTGCTCTATTTCTTTCTCAATGTCTTCCTCATTCTTGTCCTTTGGAACTCCAATCTTTGATTCTTCCAAATCTTTTCAATTTTGTATAACAATCGAGCTCACATTCCTCGGATTGGCGTTGGGTTGTGAGGGCAATCTACCTTTTTCTCTTGACTTCATCTCGCACATCTCATTCGCTATTTGCCTTACTTGTTCTTCCAAGTTCCTTATTATATTCCGAGTTTCCTGTTGAAATTGCAACATGTTAGACGTCATAGTTTTCATCATATCTTCTAAGGAATTACTCGGAACCGTTTGAGGGGGTTGTGAAGGGTGGTTAGGTGCTGAGAATCCTCTCGAATGATCTCCAAAATTAGCTTTTTGATTCCCATACTTCAAGTTCGGCTGATATTTCCATCCTGGATTGTAGGTATTCGACTAGTGGTTTGTATGCTCTTGGGATGAATCCTGCAGCACGGACATCTACTTCTTGACTCAAAGTAGGACAAATATTAGTAGGATGTTCCAAACGTGCACAAATCCCACAAGCCTTAACTTGTTCCTTCCCTGCAACAAATTGTCAAACAAATGATGTCAGTTAAGTCAATTGTTGTTGAATAGAACTCACCTCGCTTGCTTCTTTAATTGCTATTTCTTCTCTTGGTCCAAACTATTGTGAGTTCATCGTCATATTGTTTAGTAACTCTCACTCCTCTCTAGAATTTTTGTTCATCAAGGCTCCTCCACTTGTTGCGTCTATGATTCTCCTGTCGATGGAAGTCAAACCTTTATAGAAATATTGAATCAGTAATTGCACGGGGATTTGGTAATGGGGACATCTAATAAGTAAAGCATTAAAACGGTCCCAATATTCAAATAAAGACTCCCTTGTATGTTGTGTGATTCTGCATCTCTTTCCTCATGATCGCAACTCGTGAGGCGGGAAAGTACTTATCGAGAAACTTCCTCTTCATATCAATCCATGTAGTGACGCTTCCGGCAGGTAGATTGAATAGCCAATCTTTTGCAAGGTCTTTCAGTGAGAAGGGAAAAGCACGAAGTTTGATTTGATCTTCTATTATTCCTGATGGCTTCATACTTGTGCAGAAGACATCAAATTCTTGAAGATGCTTATGCGGCTCTTCTCCTGACAAACCATAGAAAGAAGGCAACAAGTGTATTAATCCTGATTTTAATTCAAAAACACTGTTACCGTTTACCGTCGGGTATGTTATGCAGAGATGCTGCTGAGTCAAGTTAGGAGTTGCCAGCTCCCTTAGTATCCTTTGATCCATCTCTTCTTCTAGCTCAAACTCGTCATAATTCAAATCGCTAGATGATTCTAAAGCTAAATCTTTTTGGCGATGCTCTTTAGTTTTTTTTCTTAATCGACGCGCAGTCTTCTCAATCTCAGGGTCAAAAATCAAGTTTCCTATGCAATCAGATCTCGACATAAACTAGAAAAAGTCAGATTTTTAAAAATAATATAAAACAACCAAAGGTAAATTGAACCAATTAGAATTTCCCAGCAATGACGCCAAAATTTGACAGGCGGTCGTCACACGGTGCAAAATTTAAATTAAACAACGCCTGAGAATGATGTTGGTAGGGGTAGAACTCGAAATTTTCTTGGAAGAATCTTTCTCATTTTTGCCCTTGCACGATTTCTCTCTGGGACTGTTCTTCACGGTATTCTCCTCCTTGTTGTGAATGTGGCAAGTGGTGCCTCCCCTTTCTTTCTTTCCTTTATATTTGCCATAATTTTGTAACAATTGGACTTTGGGCTTTTTAATTAATTCTTTAAATCATTGGACCATTTTGTTCTATTTTCCCTCAAATTCTACCAATTTCATTATTTTTCTCCTGCAAATCATAGATAAATAATATATACCTAAATCAGGTAGAATCTAATCAAAATTAACTAAATATAGCAAATAATATGAATATTCAACGCATGAGATTTCTGGCTATCACTGGGGCTATGTTTGGTTCAACACGGTCGTGTTGATTACCCTGCACTTCTGAAGACGACTGTATTCATGTCTGTGTTCTGAACGCAGCCGTGTTCATGACCCTGTTCTCAACACAGTCATGTTCACGACCATGTTCTCAACACAGCTGTGGTCACAATCATGTTTTCAATATAGTCATATTGTAGGTGATATTTATTATTATTTTACTTCTTTGTTAAAAGCATTTGATATATATTTATAATTCAACAAAAATATTTTTTACAATTTTTTGTAATATAAAAATAATCACTTTTAATATTTTAAAAAATAATTATAAAAAAAGTATAAAAACAAAAATATATTAATATTATTTTTAATAATCATCATTATATATAGTTTTCAAAATTTATAGAAAAAATTTTAAAATAAAAAATAAAAAATAAATAATTTAAAATATAAAATAATTAATTCAAAATAATATTTTAAAATTTTTATTATAAATTTTAAAAAATATACTCTCTTCGTCCCAAAACAATAGTCTTCATTTTTGTCCGTCCCAAAACAATAGTCTAATTTTAAAATATTATTTTGAAATAATTATTTTATATTTTGAATTAATTATTTTATATTTTAAAATTTTTACTATAAATTTTGAAATATATATATAATGATAATTATTAAAAATATATATTAATATATTATTATATTTATACTTTTTTTAATTATTTTTAAAAATATTAAAAATTAATTATTTTTATATTATAAAATAATTGTAAAAAATATTTTTGCTAAATTATAAATATATATATCAAATACTTTTAACAAACAAGTGAAAATAATACTTCATCCGTCATCCAATTATATTCTTGTTGGATTTTTTTGATCCAATTGGATCCACTCCATATAAGGCGCACACACACCAATTATGCAGCCTGATAGGACCTTGGCCTTGGCCCGCGACCCACACCCACTGACCCGCCTAAACCGCTCCACTTACCTATTGTGACCCGTGGTCCGAGACCCATGCTTGACTTTGCACTTACCTACCTTATTCCTTACTCGATCGCCTGACCCGACCCGCCGTTAGATCCGCGTCTTTTTGTGAGACCTATCCCTGACCGTTCGATCAAGGTATTTAATCCTAGCCATTAGTTTCCTTTTGGCCCCAGGTATATATAGACAGAGAGAGAGTGAGCAACCTCATTATTCACTCTCACATTCTCGCTCTAACCTCTTGCTCTCTCTAGCTTCACCCAAACTCTCTCTCTATCTCACCTTTCCGACGGCGTTTCACGGCGGTTCGCGGTAGTTTACGGTAGTGCTTTTCCTCCTGTAATTTGTAGAGATCCTTAGGCACGTATTACCCCTGTTTGGTGTTGTTCATAGCTGCAAAGGGCTTGTTCAACGTTGTAGGCATCTATTTGCCTTGTTGTGTTGTCTGTGGGGTTATTTTCTTTGTGTTTCGCGAGTTTCAGGTTGGTATATTGTGTAGTCGCTAGTTAGGTGTGGTATTTTTGTGTATCGATTTATGTTCCGCGTTGGTTAGGGGCTGAGCCTAACCAAAACTAGTTCAATATTTTGTTTGTCACTCGATTTCGTTAATAAAACTTTCGATTTGTTTATATTTCTACAATAACAAGTTATATCAGAACTTTTTGGCATTTTTCAGTTTCGAAATCGAGTTTTTCTTTTCAGTTTTGAGGCTTTTTGGTTGTAAATCGTTAGATCTTCAAAGGATCTGGTTGAATCGGACTACTTTTAATTGTGACATGGATTAGGATCATCTCCATGAATCAAACTCGAAGACAAGTATCTAATATGTATTCGGGAACTTACAAATGCTGAATCAAAAATTGAAATAGAAATAGGATAAGTTGAATTCCAAAAGCAATCACTCCTCTCGAGCAAGCACTTTCGAGAATCCACGGACTGTCCGAGGTTGCCGATGCATCTTCCGTCTCTCACGCAATTGCATCCGAAGCTCAACAATCGAATTGCCCTCTCGGCGGATGGAATCACTCCAACTCTAAGGAATCTCTCCAAAGCTAGGTTAACCCTCTCTCAAAATGTTCTCATCTAAGTTGTGTCCATCAAGAAAATAAACAAGGCTATATATACTAAATGACAAATTAATCTAAGCCACACATCTTAAGTGGCAAGCTAATCTAAACCACACATTAAGTGGCAAGCTAATCTAAACCACATATTTTGATTAAGATCAAAGGATCACAACCTCCAAGCAAACAAGTAGCTTCGACTGGGTTCGGGTTGCAATCGGTCCGTCTAAGTTTGGGTTCGGGTGATCCGGAGCCGTGTCATCCTCTCCCCCTTCGGCTGCCTTGTCCTCAAGGCTAGTAGTAGCATTTTTGGCTGCCTTGTACTCAAGGCAAGTAGCATCTTCAGCGTGATCAAAAAGGCTCAAATTGGCTACGTTGAAAGTCGCATTCACGCCCAAGTCTTCCGGAAGTGCAATCCGGTATGCGTTATCGTTTATGCGCTCCAACACACGAAATGGACCAGCTCCATGAGGAGAAAGTTTCCTACGCCGCAGCTCCGGAAAGCGTTCTCTACGCAAATATACCCATACCCAATCTCCGGGGTCGAAATATCACGTGTTTTCTTCCGCGATTGGCATAGCGTGCGTATGTCGCGGCCGCCTTATCAATGTTCTCCCGTACTTTGGCATGTAATTCCTTGATTGATGTAGCTCGATCCCTGCCACTAAAATTCAAATGCTCGCTACTAGGTAGTGGCAACATATCGGTAGGAGTTAAAGGATTAAAACCATAAACAGCCTCAAACGGGGACAATTTAGTAGTAGTACTAACATGCCTATTATAAGAAAATTCAACATGTGGTAGGCATTCATCCCATGTTCGACCACTATCATGTACCATGGCACATAGAAGATTACCTAAGGTACGATTGACCGCCTCCGTTTGGCCATCAGTCTGGGGGTGATACGTGGTAGAGAAAAGTAAGTGCGTCCCAATTTCATGCCAAAGACTTTTCCAAAACTAAGATACGAACTTTACATCCCTGTCAGATACAATAGTTTTTGGGACCCTATGCAATTTCACAACCACTCGAAAGAAAAGCTTTGCCACATGACTAGCATCTGTCGTTTTCGCACAAGGTATAAAGTGAGCCATCTTGGAAAATCTATCAACCACAACAAAAATTGAGTCTTTAGCACGCGGTGTCTGAGATAAACCAAGAACAAAATCCATAGAAATATCTAACCAAGGGCCTTCCGGAGTGGGAAGAGGAGTATACATACCATGGGGCTTCAAAGTACTCTTCGCCACTCTACATGCAAGACACTTATCAACAAAAGAATCAACATGTTTACGCATATGAGGCCAGTAAAAGTGAACGCTAAGAACATCAAATGTAGCATGTCTACCAAAATGTCCAAGCATATGACTACCATGACTATCCTAAATCAAAACATCTCTAATGCTACATCTATGAATGCACAATTTATCACCATGAAACAAATAGCCATCATGCTTATAATAATCATCAAACCATGCTTCTCACACTTCCTAAATATATCACCAAAATCTACATAATGCTCATACAACTCACGAATATGTGCAAATCCAACCAAATGTGTACGAGTATGATTAAGTGAAACATACCTTCGAGAGAGTGCATCAGCAACTACGTTCTCTTTCCCTTGTTTATACTTAATCACATATGGAAATTGCTCAATAAAGCTTACCCACCGAGCATGACGCTGATTGAGTTGCTGCTGCCCACGCAAATGCTTGAGGGTCTCATGATCCGTGTGAATCACGAACTCCTTTGGCAGCAAGTAATGTTGCCAAACTCTCAGGGCTTGCACAACCGCATATAATTCCTTGTCGTATGTCGAGTAATTAAGGGTTGCTCCATTGAATTTCTCACTATAATAAGCAATCGGTCGTCCTTCTTGTAATAGTACTTCACCTATACCAACTCCACTAGCATCACATTGGACTTCAAAAGCTCGTTCAAAATCGGGTAGTGCCAAAACCGGAGCATGTGTCAAACTATCCCGAAGCTTCTCAAAGGATGCTTCGTGACTTGCCTCCCACTTAAATGGAACATTCTTCTTTAAAAGGGAGGTCAATGGGGCTGCTATCACACTAAAGTGTGGTACGAATCGCCTAAAGAATCCATACATTCCAAGGAACCTCCGGACATCGGCCACACTTGTACATTTTTTCCATTCCCGGATTACAGCAACTTTAGATTCATCAACCTTAAGACCATCTGCACCTACAACAAAGCCAAGGAAAATAATTTTATTAGTGCGGAAAATGCATTTATTTAACGTACCATACAATTTAGCATTTCTTAATGCATGAAAAACTTGCCTAACATGTCCTAGATGGTCTTCCAAACAAGTACTATAGACAAGTATGTCATCAAAGTATACCACCACAAACTTTTCAATAAATTCTCTCAACACATGGTTCATCAACCGCATGAAAGTGCTCGGCGCGTTTGTCAACCCGAATGGCATGACTAGCCACTCGTACAACCCAAACTTAGTTTTAAAAGTTGTTTTCCACTCATCTTCGGGTTGCATACGAATTTGATGGTACCCACTCTTTAAGTCAATTTTTGTAAACAATCGTGCTCCATGCAACTCGTCAAGCATATCATCCAATCGAGGGATTGGATGTCGGTATTTCACAGTAATTGCATTGACGGCTCTGCAATCAACACACATACGCCATGAATTATCCTTTTTAGGGACAAGTAAAACAGGTATAGCACAAGGAGATAAAGATTCTCGAACCCATCCCTTATCAAGAAGCTCTTGGACTTGTCTTCGAATTTCCTCAATTTCTTTTGGATTACACCTATAAGCTGGCCTATTGGGGATTGATGAACCCGGTGCAAAATCAACACGATGTTCGATGCCTCGCAATGGTGGTAATCCAGGTGGTATATCATCCGGAAAACATCCTCAAACTCTTTAAGCAAGTCTACAAAAGGACGAGACAAGTGAGAAAAAGAATTATCGTCAATAACAAGTACTTCTTTGAGTAAGAGAATATAAAAATAACTTCCCTCATCTTGGTTACTGTTTTGGCAAACTTCTTTGTTGAACTCTTTGAGACTAAGCATCAGCTTGCTATCATCTCCCTCGGAAGGTTTCGCCGAAACGGTAACAACAGCCCCTTTTGATTTTTCCGCATCTCGCATAGTCCTATGTAAATGTTCAGCATCACGACGGACGGTCTCGAGTGGAAGGGCGGAAATGCTCAGCTTCTTGTGACCTTTAGTGAACGATATTTGATTCTTATATCCATCGTACAAAACACGTCTATCAAATTGCCATGGTCGTCCCAAAAGAAGGTGGCATGCAGTCATGGGACACACATCACAAAGGACATCGTCGCTGAAATCACAAATCGAAAATGTAACAATTGCTCATCTATCGACACGGACAGCTCCTTCATCGCTCATCCAATGTAGGTTATATGGTTTTGGGTGTGGGGTAGTATTCAAACTCAGCTTCTCGACCACATAGGAACTAATAACATTGGTGCAACTACCCGAATCCACTATCATGGATATAGTATGTCCTGCTACCTTGCAATGACAATGGAATAGTTTTCCTCGCTGTCCCGCATCTTTATCTTCGCGCAGTAAAGATGTCAAGGCACGCATGACTACTAAACTTAATGGATCCTCATCGCACACTTCTTCGATGTCTTCATCACTTCCAGCCTCTGCTTCAGCCTCTACTACCTCATCACCCTCACCATCATCGACATATCCCCATTCGTCATTCTCCAAAATCATAACGGTTCGTTTATTGGGGCATTGACCTGCATAGTGCTCTTGTCCATGAAACTTATAGCACATTACAATATTTTCTTTTTGCTGTCCAAAATCCTTTCCTTTGAACTTCGCAGCCTCATCCTTCTTATCAATTATTTTATATTTGCCTTTATCAATATTTTTATCGAAGGGCTTAGCGAAAACAATTCCTTTAGATCCGGTAGAAGATACAACCGGAGCTACAGAATTGGTCGGAAACTTCCTTTGAGATGAGAATCCAGTTGAGGTTGGTCTCTTGAGCTGCTCCTCGCGTTTGATAGCCAAATCCACAGCTTCTCGAAGAGAACGAAAACGGTGCAGCTCAACCGTATCAGCTATCTCACGCCTCAAACCCTTAATGAACCGAGCTTCTATCAATGACTCGCTCTCATCAATATCCAATCGCACCATCAAAATCTCCAATTCCTTAAAATATTCCTCCACCGATTTCAAACCTGGCACTAAGGACTGCAACTTGATATTCATATCTCATTCATAACTTTGTGGCACAAAACGCCTCCTCATGATTTCCTTCAACCGGGGCCAAGTATCAATCGGATTTCGTTGATGCCGTTCTCTATAACGTCTCTCCTTCTCCCACCAAGTCAATGCATAATCACTGAATTCACAAATCGCCATTCGGAATTTCTTGCCATCCGAGTAATTATGGCAGTCAAATGCCATATCGCACTTCCTTGTCCAATCCAAAAATTCCTCTGCCCCTCTTAATCCTCCAAACGTGGGAAGGGTAATCCTAATGGTAGAAAGATCGTCATCCACTTCACCACGTCGATGATAAGTTCGGTCTCGTTCATGGAATTAGTGCTCTGAGTTACGACTATTGTGTGCGTCTGACCTCATTGAAGGACTCACATCACGATGACGAGAAGCTTCAACTGCATCATATCTACCCCGAATATCAGCTACTTCAGAAGGAACCTCAGTCTGTGCCGTCTCCAAAGATGTCAACCTGTGATTGAGGTCCTCCATTTTCTTATTCACAGTGTACTCTACATGATCCCAAGTTGCCCTTTGTTGCATGGATAAAGTTTTTTCATTTTGGCCTCCAATTGTTGCATACTCGATTCCAACAGCTCCTTCAATTGTTCGAAAGTGGCCATCCTGCATACAAAGACAAACTATATATATGTATATCGAAAGGTAAGTGCTCTCACTCTCTCTCACAACTCTCAGAAAGGAAAATCAGAAGCAACCACAATCAAAACAGAAGAAGCGTTTTGCAAATACCTCAAACAGTACGTCGGAATTCCTTCAAATGCAATACTCAATGAGAAGTAATGTCGAACAAAAAAAAGACGCATCAACTAGGAACCAAACTAGAGGATTCGACGCCAAACTATAATCGCAGAATGTAAAGAAAGTGTGACACAAGTTCTTATTCCACAATTAAGCAACAAGCTAGAATCGGAATCCCTAGCACATCATTTGATCATGACAATCTCTTCTAACTCAAAAGAACCCCCACAGAAGGATAGAACTACTTCCTCAAAACTGGTTTAGTGACTCTCAACTATGATTATCCAAATGATCGACAAAGCACTATAAAAAGAAGAGAAAGTGTGCTGCTCAATTTTTTTTTTTTTTTAATGCTCTAGGCTTTTACTTAATGTTTAGAGTGCGCCTTATTCTAATTTATATTACCAGCTTGGCTCTTTTATTGCACTTTTGCCACACTCCTCAAAAACAGGACACAGTGCACTATAACCAAATTCAAATGCTATTTCAGAGAGCTATTCAAAACCAAATCTCACGATTCCAAAAATTACAATCAACTTTAAGGATTTACCTAACAGGAAAGAAAAGAATCACTCAATAATTCCCAGCCAATTGAGAGCAGTAAATCGAACAATTCGACTGCTCAAAACAGAAAACAGAATGCCGGACCCAAGATTTTCAGACTGACCAAAAACTGTCTTCCAAGTGTTTTTTGACAATTTTGAAACCACCTCACAATAGTAAATCGGAGTTCGTATGCAAAAGTTACGGCCAAAATACGATTTACCGACAAAACTCACAAAAACACACCTCTAAGCCCTCAATTCACTCAATTCCATGATCATTTGATGTGTTTAGGCTCAAAACCAACCATATTACTCAATCAAGGTCTAAGAACAGTTAGAAAACTACGAACAAAGCTTGTTAGCGCCGGCCAATAATCACTACTACTTGTGTTTCTTGAGAGACAAATTCAACAACACAACTCATGTTTGGCAACTAACAATGGATTGGAGCTAGTTATCATTTCCACTGAAGAGGGAATTTTTGCAACAACGAAATGGCTATTTCCAGAAACTATGAACTATCTCCAAATAACATGAACTAAACCAATGTTCTAACACAAATTTGATCAAACAAGACATAGAGACATATTATTGAACATGTTGTGAACAAAATTTCTACGAAATCTTATGATCAAATCAACAACCGCTCTGATACCAATTTATGACATGGATTAGGATCATCTCCATGAATCAAACTCGAAGACAAGTATCTAATATGTATTCGGGAACTTACAAATGCTGAATCGAAAATTGAAATAGAAATAGGATAAGTTGAATTCCAAAAGTAATCACTCCTCTCGAGCAAGCACTTTAGAGAATCCACGGACTGTCCGAGGCTGCCGATGGATCTTCCGTCTCTCACGCAATTGCATCCGAAGCTCAACAATCGAATTGCCCTCTCGGCGGATGGAATCACTCCAACTCTAAAGAGTCTCTCCAAAGCTAGGTTAACCTTCTCTCAAAATGTTCTCATCTAAGTTGTGTTCATCAAGAAAATAAACAAGGCTATATATACTAAATGACAAATTAATCTAGGCCACACATCTTAAGTGGCAAGCTAATCTAAACCACACATTAAGTGGCAAGCTAATCTGAACCACACATTTTGATTAAGATCAAAGGATCACAACCTCCAAGCAAACAAGAAGCTTCGACCGGGTTCGGGTTGCAATCGGTCCGTCTAAGTTCGGGTTCGGGTAATCCGGAGCCGTGTCAAATTGTTTCGATTCTTTTCCTTGTAGATCTATTGAATACTGGCCTAAATCTACATGATATGTGCTTTCTAGCCTTGGTCGAGTGTGATTTGTGTTGTTTTGCACTTAATCGCTACAAATCTGTATAGTTTAGTTAAGTTTGAGTCTATTTTTGGTTATTTTGTTACAAAACCGTTTTATTTTTTATAAACGAGTTTTGTTTTTTGGGACTTTCTTTATATATAAGGTGCAAATCGGGTTGTCTATGTTTTGTAAAGTTTTGTTAAAGATCCTTGTGGATATATTCTTGGGGAGTCAAAATCTAAAAGATTTTTTTTTTTTAAATCTTAAAAATTTGGTAAATATATTTGAAGATCTTTTTATTTTCAAACTAAATCTCGTTTGAAATCTTCAAAATCTTTAAGCCTTGCTTTGTTTGTGTTCGTTTGAGTCAGCATTGTGTAATATTCCATCTGTTTTGGGGATTCTAGCAATCTGTTAGAAGAGAAACATCTCATTTTACCTTTTTTTGTTGTTATTCAAATTTATTCTCGTTTCTTTTTTAGTTAAAAAAAATACTATTTTTTCTTTACCAAAAAAAGTAACAGTTTCTATTTTTACCTATTTTTCTTAAAATTCGTGCTCGGTCAAATAAACACACAATTGGATGACAGATGGAGTAATAAATATCACCTACAGTATGACTATATTGAAAATATAGTCGTGAACATGGCCTAAAACATGACTTTGTTGAGAACATGATCGTGAACATGGTCTAGAACATAGTTGTGTTGAGAACAGTGTCATGAACATGAGTAGGAACATGCAGAACACGGGTATGAACCCGGGCAGGAACAAGGTTGTGTTCAGAAGTGCAGGATAATCAATACGGCTTGTTGGCTGTCTGGGGCGCCCAACAACCCTTCTAAGTCATCCAACAAGGCCGTGTTCAAGCCAACACGGCCGTGTCAAGTTCCAGTCAACCATCTTGGAAATAAAGTTGGTAAATTTTTATTTGAATAGGACCAAAATTGATAAAGAATTTTCGATTGGACTAAAATTGATAATTGTGATATTGAATGAAACCAAAATAATTTTTGTTTTGTTTTGATATTAGTGTATAATTATTACTTTTGAAATACAAAATTGATACTTTGAAACGGGGCAAACGAAATTGGTAAAAATTAAATATAAAATTGATATTTTGAAACGGGAAAAAAAATAGGTAAAAAAAATATTTTGAATGAAGACGAAGAAGTTATTTTTCTTTAAAAGAAACTTGTTCTTTTCTTTAAATAAAAAAAAAAAAGCCAAAATAGCATAAAATCCCCATGTGGTTTTAAAAAGTTGCTGAAAACCTCCCCTAATTTTAAAACTCCAAAAAACCTATTTATAGTTTGTAAAACGTTGCACACTCGCCCCTCCCCTCTAAACTTTACTAACAGATGTTAAATTCTATCATAATGGACCGTTATACTCTTTTCTCTCTCCTACTTTTTTTTTCTTCCATTTTCTCCCACGCGCCCACTCCCATCCTTTTCTTCTTCCTTTCTTTTTTTATTTTTCTGTAATTTTCTTTCAGAAGATCTGTGAAAAAATCGTCGGCGGAAGTATTAACCCGTTGTTTGTTCGCCGAGGAAGGAAGCTACTGAGAACCGCCGGCGCTGCCGGTCGCTGTAATGGGCTGGAGTTGTTTGTCAGTCAGTCAATTTGTGAAAAATATTTTTCTTTCTTCTGGGTCTTAATTATTTGAGTTCCTTCTTCTCATTTCCCAATTTTTCTTCACACCGCATAGCCACACCAGATTCTTTCTCTTATTTCTTTTCCTCAATTTTCTTTCTTAATTCTTCTTCACCCGCAGCCGCAGCCACACGCACCAGGTATTTTTCCCCCAATTTTTTCCTTGCTTCTTCTTCCTCTAAATATTTTTTTTTTCCTTCTACTTCTTCTTCCCTACTTCTTCTTCTGCACCAAGTTCTTCTCCAATTATAAATTATTTGCTCCTAAAATTTAACCTAAAAAATATCTGCAAAAATGAAGAAAGAAACATAAATTAACATTGTTTCTCTGCGCATTAGATAAATATAGGAGAAGATGAAAATTCACAATTCTCTGTTGATTTTACTAAGTTCTGTGTGCCTTCATTTTTTATGAATATCGGTTGAGAACGTGATCTATCCGCTTCAAATTTTTTTTATTTTTTGAATTGAATATATTCTAAATTTTGAACCTGCACAATTGGGTGAAAAGAAGATATTGGGGAAGAACTAAGCTGTATTGAATTTTAGGTGAGAGAAAAATGCATATAATAAAGTCATAGGGTCATTTTAGTAACTTCACGTACAAATTTATCATTTTCTGGACCAAAATTCGCATTTAAGGTGCGTAACATATACTCTCCGTTAAGTTCTAACGGAGGAGAATTTTTCTGCAACGTTTTACAAATCACAAGTAGATTTTTTGGAGTTTCAAAACCAGAAAAGGTTTTCAGCAACTTTGTGAAACCACAGATAGATTTTATGCTATTTTGACAAAAAAAAAAAAGCACAATTAATTTTTCAATATGAAATATGAAATCAAATAATTAGTACATCAAAAGTTAAACCTATCCATATATCTACTTTTAAATTTTTTTATTATTATTCAACTAATTTATATTATATAATATTATATTAAATATTCAATTTTTTTATTATTTTTTAAATCTTAAATCAAAATATGCTAACTAAACAAAAATTATATGTATACTACGTCCATTTGGTTCTAAAGATCTTGTTTATCTTTTGCGTAATTATAATTAACATTAAAAATTTATATTTGTATAATTTTTTGCACAAATATCATTGTAATAGGATTATAAGACACTAATAGAAATATTTTTTTTATTTTTTACGTTTTCATATACTAATTAATATTCAAATATCAACACATAAAAAATAAATGAAACTCTTAGAGTCGAACAAAGGTAGTACTTGATGTAATTGTTCTTTTTTTTTTTTATCAAAATACCTAATATATTTTTCAAAAATATTAATATATTACACACATTATTTTAAATAAAACTTAATTAACTATATTATAGGAAATATTATTTTTTACAAAATAAAAATTTTAAAACATTTAAATATACATTCTATTTTTTAATCATATATATTAAATTTATTTTAAAATATCAATATTATTAATTAAATAAAAAATTAAGATACTATAATAATTTATTATTATCAACTCATTAAACATATATTTATAATTATATACACACATACAAATAACAAACAGTAGGAAATCTAAAAGAGTAGGATCTCCGGAAACAAACATTACTTGGAACGTTGGGAAAATAAAATTGGAATCCAGTGAGCCCTAGCATTTAGCGAATGTTGGATTAATGATACCATTAAACCTGAGCAGTCATTTTGCGTCATTCTACTTAAAATATTAAAAATAATTTTATATTTATATAATTTTTTTTACTAATAAAAATTTTTTTACAATTATTTTTAAATTTATACTACATTTTGATATAATAATTAATATTTAAATATCAATACGCAAAAAGTAAATGAGACCTCAAAGTCGGACGGAATAACATAATAAATTGCTCAGTTGCTAACAAAAGAATTTGCCAAATTCAAACTCAAAAGACAACAACAGCATGACATATGATATGATGATGTTCCTAGAGTTTCAAACCAAAGCACCCAATAAATAATATCCTCCTCATTTTTCTCCGTCATTATTTGATTTCATGTAAATACATACATACCTGTCTGTCTTGCACGCATAAACAGTATCGAATCACCACCTCACCACAGCAAATAATGTCATAATAACAATAATACTTAAACAAACACCTATAACAGTCCCGTGCAGGTGCAGCTTACTACGAATATAATTGTTTGTGTTGGCAAAACTCTTCCGTCACAAACTTCAGCTTATGCAAGGAAATTACAAACGCTTTCATCCCATTCTTTCTTTCACAAACTTAAGATTTTTGCTTTCCAATCTCCCGAGCAAAGAAAATGGAAGCCTGTTAGTTAATCTGCAAGGCAATGAATGAATAGAGAGGAACTATCACTCATCAATAAACAAACTGTAGTAACAGAACACTGATATATTTTGCATAGGCCTGAATGTTTTACTATGAGAGAGGCCGATCATAATATTTCGTGTGAGTTGTGTGTCGCACCGGCTAAGGATATTATTATTACATTGCTTAATTTGGGGTCATCTAAGTCATCAGATTTTTCATCTCCAAATCATTGGCAGAAAATGTGTAGCAATGAAACTACCGACTACTGAGGGGTTAAAATCTTGACTACCATCCACTCAAAATTTTCAATCAAACGAGTTCGTTGAGACTAAGCAGATAATCTCTTCTTCTGTAGGAGACTTCGGCTAGCATAACAGGTTAAATATTATCAGTCAGAAATTGAAAATATAATTCAGGACACCGATAAAGTTTGATTAAAAATGAAACATACATTACTTCAAATAAATTTTATCTTGCAATGATGTATGACTGTGTGTATATATATATTAATATATATTATATCCAGACACATTTATGTACATTTTCTAAATCCAAAAGTAACAGTCATGTGGAAATCTGAGCAGAATTTAACGGGAATTGTTCCCTCATAATCATATGGCTTCATAAGATCACTTCCATTTTTTGTTGTAAAATAGTCAGAAACTAAAGAACCTATGCGTGTGTATGATGTGGTGCCAGGGGGTCGGCCCTTGCAAGTTTACCATCGACGGAGACGGGCATGAATCCACCTTCCGTGAGTTAAGTTTATCCGAAATTCAAATTTCAAATTCTAATTTATTAGCTTTAATTTTAATTTATTGTCTTTAATTTCAATTTCTAAATTTGGAATTGCTTAGTAGGGCATCTAAATCCCTATCTTAGGACTTTTGGGGATTATGGATGAAATAAAATATTGGTGATTATCCGTTTGAGGAAGGATAATTGAGGAACACACTGTTGTTCTTGTTCTATTCCTAACAATTGGTCCGACCTATCGGATCCGTTTCCGTCGGGATGGTTGTCACACGGAGAACACCTGAACAAATTGGAGTCAGATCCGAATGAAATCAAGGAAAAGATAGATGCGCAAGATGTGAAGCTAGATGCGCAGGGATTGAAGTTAGATGTGCAAGCAGCGCAACTTGCCGAAATTGCGGCATCCTTGGTAGCCTTGACGGCGGGACTATCTCTTCCGCGGCCGGCTATGCAGCCGGTGAATGGAACACCAGTACAGGGGAAGGTGCCGGACGTGGCGGCTGATGCGACGAGCGCAGCGAGCAGGCAGCAAGGAGGCATTCCGCAGTCGGGTGGCAACGCGGCAACTGCATGGGTGACGGGAGCGCGAGGTGAAGGGGAGCGCATGACACACAGTGGGACGAAGGTGCAGTTGCCGTCATTTGACGGAAATGACCCGATCGGTTGGGTGGCAAGGGCTGAACAACAATTTGAGATTTACGGCACATCACCGGAGCGGAAGGTAGCAATGGCGATGGTCGCAATGGAAGGACCGGCATTGTATTGGGTGACGTGGCTACCACGTCGCCCGGGGTTGCTTTTGGAAGAATTCACACATGCACTAGTGGGCGCGGTTTGACACGCGTTTTAAGGGTAACCGTTTTGAGCGATAGTCAAAGATGAAGCAACATGGAACAGTGGATGAGTATATATCGATTTTCGTTCAGTTGGCAGGTTAGGTTCCGGGATTGTCGGAGGCGCACTATCTGGGGTATTTTATGAGTTGCCTAAAGAGTTCCATTCGGGGCTCGCTTCGTCTACTACGGCTCATTGATTTGGAGACTGCAATGGAATTGTCAAGAGACATCGAAGATAACCTGAGTTTGCAGAATGATAGGCGAGGGAGCCAAGCAATTGGTACTTTCAGTTTCTTCACGGGGGTTTTCTCGATCATCGGGTGGCGGTCCAATTTCTGGACATATAAGTAATGGGAGTGGTAGTGGCCTAAAGGCTGGGAGCCAGACCGTGGGTATGAGCTCGGGGTCATCCGGACAGTCTACGGCGCGTTCCCGATTCACCCGTCTTCCACCCAAAGTATTGGAGGAACTGCGTGCAAAAGGATTACGTTTTTGTTGCAAAAAACCTTTCTACCCGGGCCATGATTGCCCCCTAAAGCAACTACAGGTATTAATTGCTGAAGATGACGAGGAGTTAGCTCTCTAACAGCACGAATATTATGAGGTTACTGGCCTTGAGGGAGGCGAGGGGGAACAAGAAGAAGAGTTGGGGGACTTGCCAGTGTATTCGATGACGGGGGTGTTTAGTCCTCGCACGATGCGATTACGGAGCATAATTCAGGGCATGGAGATAACCGTATTAATCGACAGTGGAGCGAGCCACAACTTTATATGTTCTTCCTTGGTTGACAGGTTGGTGATACATCCTGAATCGACCGGGAAATTCGAGGTACAAATGGGAGATAGTCGCCGGAAGGAATCTAAAAGGGTGTGTCGGTATTTCTCCATCGGACTACCGGGGTGTGAGGCGGTGGCAGACTGCTATGTGTTTCCCTTAAAAGGTTTGGAAGTTATCTTGGGTATTGCGTGGCTCGCCGCACTTGGAGAAATTGTCCATAATTGGGCAGAGCTTTCCATGAGTTTCAAGGGCACTAACGGTCGAGTGGAGCTAAGGGGGGACCCGGCGTTGTGTCGGAATTTGGTAAGCCTAAAAACACTAGTCAAGACATCGGAGGCCGAACTTTGGGCAGTCCTCCTAAAGAACGTCGGCAAAATTGACTGAGGAACATATAGGGGCATTAGACGAGGTGCTTCCACAGCATGCGGTGGTGTTCGAGGAACCAAGGGGTTTGCCTCCGAGCCACACAACGGACCACTCCGGGTGCGAAGCCAGTATCGGTCCGCCGTTACTGTTGGCACGCCCAAAATGATGAGATAGAAAGGCTGGTGGAGGAAATGTTACGTGCGGAGATCATCCGACCGAGCTCAAGTTCGTTTTCAAGCCCGGTTTTGTTGGTCAAAAAGACAGATGGTAGTTGGAGATTTTGTGTGGACTACCAGGAATTAAATAAGTCTACGATGCATGACAAATACCCAATTCCGGTAATTTAGGAAATGTTGGATGAATTGGCGGATGCGGTAGTTTTTTCGAAGATTGACTTGCACTCGGGATATCATCAGATCAGAGTAGCGGACTCGGATGTCCATAAAACGGCATTTCGGACGCATAGTGGGCATTATGAGTTCCTCGTTATGCCATTCGGGTTGACGAATGCGCCGGAAACCTTCCAATCAACTATGAACGAATTGTTTAGGCCGTACTTACACAAGTTCGTGCTAGTCTACTTCAATGATATCCTGATATATAGTAGATTGTGGGAAGAACATCGCGCATAGCTGGGAGTAGTCCTTCGCATTTTAGCCACGCATCAGTTTCAGGCCAACAAGAAAAAGTGTGCATTTGGTTGCCTTAAAATCGAATATTTAGGGCATGTCATCTCAAATTCCGGAGTATCGATAGATCCTGCGAAGGTGAGCGCAGTTGTCGATTGGCCGCAACCCCGATCAATATGAGAGGTTCGGGGATTTTTAGGTCTTACCGGTTATTATCGCAGGTTTGTGAGGGAGTATGGACTTATTGCTCGGCCCCTCACGACCCTCTTGAAGAAAGAAGCCTCTGCCGTGTTTGTATGGACTTCTGTGGCAGAAAAGGCCTTTGAGCAGTTGAAGAAGGCCTTGACTGAGGCTCCGGTACTGGCGATGCCTTGGTTTGATCGTCCGTTCGTCGTGTATGGGTGTAGGGGTCGTACTCATGCAGGAGAGGCAACCCATTGCTTAATATAGTAAGTCGTTGGCAGATCGTACTCTCTTTAGATCGGCTTATGAGCGCAAGATGATGAGGTTAGCTTTTGCCGTGCAACATTGGCGGCCCTACTTGATCGGATGACGTTTTGTGGTGCGGACAGACCATCGAAACTTAAAACATCTGCTTACCCAGCGTATTGCGACTCCATCGCAACAGGTTTTGGTAGCAAAATTGCTAGGGTATGATTTTGTTAATGAATACAAGACTGGGGCTTCTAATGCGGCGACAAATGCTCTTTCAAGAAGGGCGGAGGAAACATCCTTGACCATCGTTAGCGGGCCCGAATGGTTGGGGTTAGAGGATATATGCAAGGAACAAACGCAAGACCCGTATTTACGAGAAATCCAAAAAACACTAGAAGTGGATCCGACGCGCCATCCGGGTTTTGAGTTGATTGAGGGTGGCTATTATACAAAAGACGTTCTGTGTTGGCTTCCGACTCCAAGTGGATTCCTCATTTGTTGGAGGAATTCCACGACTCGCCTATCGGGGGACACGCAAGTGTATTTCGTATCTACCGACGCCTTGCTATGAATGTTTATTGGTGGGGCATGTTTGGCCGCGTACAACGCCATGTGGCTCAGTGTTTGGTATGTCAAAAAGCAAAATATGAAGCATTGTCGCCGGCGGGATTACTTCAGCCGCTATCTATTCCGAAAATGATATGGGAAGATATTTCGATGGACTTCATTACTTGCTTGCCCAAGTCGAAAGGGTGTACTGCGATTTTGGTAGTAGTGGACCAGTTGTCCAAGTATAGGCATTTTTTAGCTATCCGTTCACCATCACAGCATGTTCGGTGGCGGAATTGTTCGCAAGAGAGGTGGTCCGATTACATGAGATTCCTCGATCGATTGTTAGTGATCGGGATTCACTATTTTTGAGTAGTTTTTGGAATGAGTTGTTTACATTATCAGGGACGAGACTTAAGTTTAGTACTGCATATCATCCGGAAATGGATGACCAGACGGAGATGTTGAACCAGGTCTTAGAGACTTACTTGCGTTGTTTCGTGTGTGAGCAACCGACGCATTGGCAACTCTGGCTTTCATGGGCGGAGTATTGGTACAATACAGCCTTCCAGACTGCAGCGTGGATTACTCCATTTGAGGTTGTCTATGGTAGGGTCCCTCCAACGATTCGACGGTTTCTTTCAGGTGAATGCCGGGTTGCCGCAATAGCCGATGCTTTGAGCAGTAGAGATGTGATGTTAAGCTGACTACGAGGGTCCTTGGAGAGAGCGCCAACAGCGTATGATTAAATTTGCTAATCAGCAACGTTGGGAGGTAGATTATTAAGTGGGGGGATACGGTTTTTTCGAAAGTTCATCTACATCGCCAACATTCGGTAGCGGGAAAATCTCATCATAAGCTCACCCCCAAGTTTTATGGTCCGTTTTCGGTGGAGGAGCGCGTGGGACCAACTGCATATCGCTTGGCCCTACAGGTGTCTAGCCGCTTTCACCTGGTGTTCCACGTGTCTCAACTTACACGTGTCATGGGCGATCATCCGGTGGAAGGGGATTTACCGCCAAGTTTGAAATTGCCCATAGGGCCAGTGTTTCAGCCCGAAGAAGAGTTACCGCAGCAAATAGTTCAAGAGGATAGAGTCGCAGTTGAACAGTTCTTGATTAAGTGGCATGGATAATCACTCGATGAAGCCACTTGAATATCTCGTCCGGACTTCTAAGAACAGTTCCCAGACTTCAACCTTGAGGACAAGGTTATATACAAAGGGGATGGAATTGATATGGTGCAAGGGAGTCGGCCCTTGCAAGTTTACCATCGACGGAGACGGGCATAAACCCACCTTCCGTGAGTTTAAGTTTATCCGAAAATCAAATTTCAAATTCTAATTTATTAGCTTTAATTTTAATTTATTATCTTTAATTTCAATTTATTGTCATTTATTCTATTGCTAAATTTGGAATTGCTTAGGAGGGTATCTAAATCCCTACCATGACTTTGGGGATTATGGATGAAATAAAATATTGTTGATTATCCGTTTGAGGAAGGATAATTGGGGAACACACTGTTGTTTTTGTTCTATTCCTAAGAGTGTACCAGTAACACATTCTAAGCATTTTTACAGAAAACATCTATGGTCGAGATGATAACACCTTGAGATTTTCATATAAGTTAGTCAGGAGTAAAGAATGCAGCAAAAGCTTTTATATCAAAGTTAGAAAATTTTCACTCACAAGCTCTAAACATGCAGCCATGTTCATACTGTAACATTTGATGAGCATTTACAAATGCACTAATCCATTATCATCAGCCGTGAAAACACATACGCCATTGCATAGTGCAATTTAATGAGGCCTTAATAGTATAAATAAAGTCAATTAAAATGTATTTGAGCAAACAGCTAAACAAGACTTTGTATTGAAGTGAAAAACACAACAAAAACCAAATTAGTTAGCAGATCAAATCTGATCATGTGTTAAGTGATATTAATCCTAGTAGAGCTTAACCTCAAGAATCAAAAGATTAAAAGGTTAACAATTTTCTCTTTCAACATGACAGACTAACTTTTAGTTGTTAGATACATAACAAAGATGAATTCTATCAATTATACACAAACATATAAAAAGTCCTTGGATTTATTTGTGATCTATGACAAGCCATATGAAGTGAAAAATTTTCACAAGTGGATTGAAAGTACTGAAACAATATTTTAGCAGTATTTTCTAATTCATGCCCATGGGACTCATAACCAAGTGAAGCTCTGAGGTCACTGCTAAGCAAAACTTTCAACAACCCAAACATGTCTGATTTGTCAGATCACATGACTAACAACAGAAAAGCAAAAATAACTAATTTTCAAATACTTTAAACACTAGAACATATAATAAATCCCACTATAACATCAAACACATGAAATATATACAAATATATATATATATACAAACCTTTAAGCTAGTTACTGAGCCAGAGCATCAAATCGCTTCAACGCTTCACAATTTGGAGTTTCTCGTCTATAGCCCCAATGAAGCTGTTGCCACTCAAGCCTGCAATTATGCACAAGAATTGACCGATAGTCATCCTCAACCTGTTGTTCAAATGCAATTCGTTGCTGGCTACTAGGCGGATATTGCTGCTCAAATTTGGAAGATTTAACATAAAAGTTCACGCCCTTCTGTGTGGTAAGCTTCTGATTGTGTGTGGAAGATGGAGAGAAAGAATAAACAGGTTCAGATGATGGCAACAAGTTCATCAACACAATCAATATAATCGGTAACAACTGAATCACTGTCCTCAACCAATTAGATCCATGATCAACTCCGCCTGTTCTTACCCTTACTCCTGGCCCAAATGTAAATCCACCAAAATTCCCAGTAGTTGCTGGATTCATTCCCCCAAAAAAGAAATTTCTGAAAATCTCGTCTGCATCAACATCCTCATAGTAAAACCCATTAAACCCTCGCATTCCATTAACTCCTCCACCTCCACCTCCACCTCGTCTATCATATACAGGCTCATCTGATCCAACAACATCATACTTTTTACGACCCTCTGGATCACTTAAGCATTGAAATGCTTTGGACACCTTCTTAAATGCTTCCTCTGCACCAGGAGCCTGGTTCTTATCCGGATGGACCTTTAGTGACAATTTCCTATATGCCTTACGAACATCTTCAGCACTGCAATTCTTTTCCAGGCCCAATATTTCATAATAGTCATTTTTCCTCTTAATCTCTTTCACCACAGTGACCTGCTCTTCTGTGTAGGTTGCTGATGTGCTGGATGTGGAAGAGGATGATGGTCTGGATGCTGAAACCCTGCGGCGGTTCCCAGTCTGCGATGGATTGGAAGGACTTTCTTCTGTTGGTCCATCAGTACTCTTTGATTCTGGTTCCAACGTGTTCAGATTAGACAAAAGTTCACCAACTTCAATAGTTGGATCCAACCGACGGGCTTTGTTGAGAAACTTCAGGGCACGGATTTTGTCTCCTGATTCAACGGCACTTTTGGCAATCTTTAAGCACTTCAAGGCCTCATCTTTATTCCCATCCATCTTATGATAGTTGTATTTATCTACAAAGGAAATCAAATAAGCATATAACATAAACGCAATTGAATTAAACTCCTAACTTATTATTAATTAGAATGATTAAAGAGACTTTGGAGAATCAAACGGGGGGCTCGTTGCCGTCACATCAATCCATTTATTTGTTGCGAGAAAAAAATTGAGAACAAGCATACATAACTAATTCGTTGCAATCGAGCATATATTTCTTCACCGCGACAAATATACAAACTTAAGCATCCAATAATCGTACGCGCACAAACTCAAATCATATTTAGGTTTGAAAGAAATTCAGTCAATCAAAATCACTGAACCAAATCGGACCATCCATCAGTAACAAAAGTTCATATATATCCATAATTCAGAATAAAAAACATGTTTCTCACCTCAGAAATTTCCAACAGACGCCGCTGAGTACCGACTCGGAAAATCGCCCCGAAAGCGCGCCGATTTCAGAGGTGATGGCGAATTTCGGGACGGAGAAGGGGAAGAGAGAGCAGATAAAACTCAGAGAGAAAGGGCAGATTAGAGAGGATGCAGAGGGTCGGCAGATTTGGGCGTAGGTCTTCGTGATTCGCCCTTGCACAGTCGAGTCGAGTCGAGGAAGACTTATGGGAGAGGTTAATGAGTAAATCTAATATGTAAATCTACTTTGGCCAGATAATCAATAATCTATATTTATGGGGTAGATTGCAAATTGCACTTTGCACCCTTATTTTTAGATGTGTATTCAATCGTGACTTTATGAGATTTTGTTGGGCTTTTAAATGTGATTTATTTTAATCCGAACTTTTAAAATTTTTTAAAACTTTGAGGTGTTTAAAGATTCATAAACTTAAAAAGTCAGTGAATTTTGTTTAATTTTAATGGATAATTATGTAAATTTTGTATAGTATAAAATTTCAAGTAAAGATTTTGATGAATTTTTAAAATTGTTGATGTAATTTTTCAACAAAAATAAAGTAAAATTCAAAGATATAGAAAATATCCTTAAACTTGATTAATTAGTGCCTGAGATTAGGAATCTCTAAACACTGTACGGTACAGAAAATAAACTGGAAAATAAAAGACTGAAATTTAAAGTGGTGATCCCCAAATCTGACTTTGCTTTGTTGAAGTTGAATGAAGATATCTTGCCAAATGATGATTCAAACCTTTAAATATTCTCAGGGGAACCGTACTGAAAACCGTCACCCGAACGGTTACAACGTCTCCTTCCCAACCGTCTTCTAACCCTTTTCATGTTGACACGTGTCCTCAGCAGACCAAAATTATCCTTATATTTCACTCTTTGAGCCGACCACAGACCTTCCGCTCTTTTGGCCCGACTTCATCCTTCACCCGACCTGCTTCTACGACCGACCTCACTTGGGCCGACCTCCGCATCAGCCGCCCTCCGTCTTTGACCGAAGACCTCCGCATCTGTCCGTACCTCTTCCTTGCCCGACCTTCCTCTTAACAGACCTCTGCGTCTGCCCGACTTCGGTCTGGATTTGGATCAATTCTTGAGATCTTACCTTTCTTCCTTTTCCCGACCTGAAAGCCTCCCGACCTGCGGATTTCCCGTCCTAATGACTTTCCGTCTTGAGGCCTTACCGACCTAAAGACCTTCCGTCTTGAGGTCTTTCCATCTTGAGGACCTCCCGACCTGAAGACCTTCCGACCTGAGGTCTTTCCATCTTGAGGACCTCCCGACCTGAAGACCTTCCGACTTGAGGTCTTTCCGTCTTGAGGACCTACCGACCTGAGATCCTTCCGACCTGATGACTTTCCGTCTTGAGGACCTCCCGACCTGAAGACCTTCCGACCTGAGGTCTTTCCATCTTGAGGACCTCCCGACCTGAAGACCTTCCGACCTGAGGTCTTTCCATCTTGAGGACCTCCCAACCTGAAGACCTTCCGACTTGAGGTCTTTCCGTCTTGAGGACCTACCGTCTTGAGGACCTTCCGTCTTGAGGACCTACCGACCTGAGGTCTTTCCGCCCTGAGGACCTTCCGCCTTGTATTTTCCTTAGAAATAAATCTATTTACCTTGATTTCCTCACGGTGTCCTTCAGCCAGTTCAATCAACCCCATTGTTAGGCCCATTCTTCTTTTTACCTTGGGCTTTTAACCTAATTCTAAATTTCGTACGTAACAACTTGCCCGCCGCCAAGGGACTTTCAAACGCCATTTAACAATCAATGTTTGGAAGTTCATAAATCACCACCCTCGTGAAAAACTCCTTTAGCAACTGCACCAGTTACTGCAACACTCCTGATTAACTTCCTTCTCCGCACTACAAGCTTTTGCGAATCACAATCCCAAAACACTCTAACCATGGCGAATCAATACATTCCTGCCCTTCCCTTCGACGGAACCCTCCCGGAGGGCCCATTTTCAGCCTCGAAAGTACTGACTCCGACGATCCGTCCATATTGCACTACTCCTGAAGATTCAAATCAGATGAGGGAAATCTTGGAATCCCGAAATTCCTTGGCTATCAACAGCCCTAACTACCAAGCAGTTCGCATCCGAGACAGCATCAAAACCCATCTCACAGACCCAAAAGATCCTTACCGCGCTTGGTATCGACGGGTAGCAGAACACTTCCAGACCCAATGGCGTTCCCAAAAGATCGACCAAGCAATATTATTGTCCACCATGCCTATCAACCTGCATGAGAAGGTGTTGTTGGCCATGTCTGCCTTCTGGAATGCGGAAAATGGGACTTTCCTCTTCCCATCAGGCCCCTTTGGCCCAACTCTTATGGACGTTACAATGATTGCGCATCTCCCAGTCGTGGGTGAAGACCCTGTAATGGGAACCCTAGATGGGCAGGAGCCATCAGAAGACCATCCAGGGTGGTCTTTACAAGGTGTGAAGGAATGGGGTTGGACAAAGTTCGCAACCGACCAGCAAGGGGCTCCAGGGACCCCTGTAACCGACCGGGAGCATACTGCCTTTATCCTTTTTTGGCTTTGTAGGTACGTCATTGTTTCCCCTTCCAAATGTGTTCTTCCTTCTCATCTTGACCTAGCCATTCATATCGCGTCAGGTCGTTTTTTCTCTCTTGGCACCCTGTTTTTAGCCAATCTGTTTGAAGGACTCACTAGAGTTAGCCTTCGCTTAACAGATAACGATAATAGGAAATTAGACACTGCCGCGTCGGGTCCTTTTTGGTTTTTAGAACTTTGGTTCCGACTCTACTTCCCCAACGCGTTTAACTTAGGATCTCCACCCACTATGCCAACAGCTGAAAAACATTTGGGACTAGCCCTTAACCGACTCTGCTCAGGACGCAATAACCTCCAATCTTCCGATCCAATAATAATTGCAGTTTTAACAGATACCCGCAGTAACTCTCGCTTTTCTATGTATAAAAAATATGCGGGCTATGCTCCCGACCATTTTTGGCCTTTTCCAGTACCAAATCCGCTTCCGACTCCTGAGCCTTGTCCTCATTCCACTTATCCTTTTGCCTGGGACGTTGCCCTCAAACCCAGGTCTCTTTTCAGTAGCAAAAAACTTGATAAAAAAGGGCAGAAAACTTTTTACACCTTTAATTATGAACCTCAATTCCTGGCGCGCCAGTTCGGCTGTTGCCAAGGTATCCCTGGACCCGTCGCGTGTCCGCAAATAATTTTTCAAAGCCCTGACCGACGAGTCCTACCTAATTCAATCCCTTCTTATATATCCCAGCTCACCACGTACATAATTTCCAATTCTTATATTCCTTTCCGCTCCAACCCTGAGACTGTAGATACTTTCAATGAATGGTGGTCGGTTGTATGGCCCCTGATTTCCCCTGATGAGGGTCGGTTGCTGAACATACTCCTTCCACCCCAAGGATTGGTTCTAGGGGCGGCTAGACATACTAGCACCCAGCCACAAACAGCCGCCCCGGGGACCGGATCTAGTGTTCCAAAACGAAAAAGGAAAGCTTCCCAGCTGCAAACACCCCCGACCTCTGGGGCCGACCAGCAAGCTCAAGCGGACCTAGGAACTACTAGGACGTCAGCAAGGACCCGACCCCGACTAGGTAATTTTTCTTAAAACCGTGAACCAATTCACTATATCTTAACCTTGATTTCACTTATCATTCACCAGAACCGACCTTGGCAGCACCGACCACACAACCGACGCCAGCCCCAGCTGACCAACCTTTGGTCCCGACTGAGGCAGTTCCTCTTCAAACCCCTACTCCACTTCTCACTTTGCCAATGAGCAGTCGGGCAGAGGACCCGACGAGGAGGCAAATTCTTCCTCCTGCACCGAGGAGCGGTCGGGCCAGGCACCCGACCAGGAGGCAATCTCTACCAGCAGTGCCCATCGGATCAGCAGCAGGGGTCTCTTCTGACAACGAAGGAACTACTTCCCAGATGGGTCGACCGCCATACATGGCATCAGACTCATCCATTTTGAAGGAAGGACCAACTGCCCTCGCCGAAGCTGACCCTCAAAACGACATCCTTGATGTTGCTGATCCCGAAATCGGAGGTGCTGCAGAGATCCCGGCTGCAGTGGCTCTAGATGCAGCCGCCCAACCAGCAGCGGCGCTCCCTCTAGCCATCGAGTGGCAGGCAGAAGAACCACCTGCGGCAATCCAACCTCCAGAAATGGAAGAAATGTCTTCGTCCGAATCGGAGACTTCTGTAAATTTGGTAAGATTCCACCAATCCATGCCATAATGTTTCCCTCGGAAAACACTAACTGTTTTATATGCCACGTTCCAAAGGGACCCAGGTCGGCACCTCAGCGACCATTCGCAGCAGCCGACGAGTCGGCTGCTATTATACCAGCTGTCTGCCCTACTCGACCGACCTCATTGCTGCCCCCCTCACTGACAGCAGTCCGCCCAGAGGTAACACATATCTTATATGAATAAATTTGCACCTCCTTTGGAATACTTATTGACATTGTAGGACTTGCAGGGGCCTTCGGACTTAGCCGTCCTATCGACTGTTCCGGTTCCGGCGGAGGCCCGAACCATATTCACCGAGGCCATTAACCATCCCCTGTCAGAATTGAGATCCGACTTATTGGACAAACTCATCCAGACGGTTGGTGGCCTTCTCTTTTACACTCCGACGGAATCGCCAGCTGTCCCCATTCTGCATAGGCTGATGGAGAGACTTACAGAGCTCAAGACTGAAGTGGTAGTCATTGGTCTTCTGTCAGCCGAAACCCCCCAGCCCGACTTCGATCAAACAACGCTGGAGAACTCTTTGGCTAAGACTCGAGAATCCCTTCAACAAACTACTGGAAGACTGGGTGGTCTCCTTAGTACGAAAGCTCTGGTTGATGATGCCATTCAGAAAAAGGAGGCAGAATTGCGGGAGCTGAGGAAAGAACAGTCTACCCTGGATACGCAAATTACCAATGAACAGCATCTGCTTGAGAAGTATACCAAAAATGAGGCTGAATTGGATCAAGAGCTGAAAACCCAAGCCCGATCCCAATTCATCAGAAGGTATCAGACGGCTGTCAATACCAGAAGGCTATCCAGGGATGAAAACAAATGGACACAGATAAAAACTGCCCTAGGGGCACTGTTGTAATATTTCCCCCTTTGTAACAATACTTGACTTAGTAATCCATTTTTTCCTTTTGTCTCTCAAAACAAGGATCACCTTTCAATTTCCAACTTT